CACTATCTTCTTTCGCAGATCTTTGAGACTCTTTGATTTGTGTTTCTCACTCGACTGGTATCCCAGGTCTGCTGTTCCTCCGAGCCAACCGTTTTTCCCAAAGAGCTTTTTGTGCGAAGACCGTGTCTGGCAAAGCGAGCTGTCGATGTGGTCGAGTCCGAACGACTCACTCTCGCAGATGTGAATGGGTTCCTGCACGGGTAGTATGGGTTGCTTGCAAGGATTATCATACTCCAAGACTGCAACCTGACTGGTCATGGCCTCGGGGGGTGTATTGTAGGTTGGTGTATACTCATGTCCGTCATGAACAGCCACGCGAAGCCTTTCTGCTGCAGAGGCTCCAACAGAAAATGGCTGGACATCACGTACCGGAGGAAGCGACAAGATTTCTGGGGAGTAGAGAGACTGATCAGATTCTGACCTGGGACCAATTGATCGCGAAGAGTTTGTTGATGTATCAAAAGGGGGAGTGAGATCATCTGTCTTGGGGGACATATTCCAGAAAGATCTACATTCCTCATAGAAGGGATTAAGTTTCGTGACATCCTCATAGGGAAGCGTTTGGCTGCAGCAGTTAGTATCTCAACCCGTGTCGATTAGGATTTCCAATTGCTTACGCTGGACTAAACATGATGGGAATCTCCGAAGATAATTTCATTGCAATCTGGACAGAATGAAGAGGATGTTGACGTCTGTTCTGCGGTAAGAAAGAGTATAGAGAATGATATGGAGTTAAATAGCCAAGGTGGAATTTTAGTACGGAGTTTAGCAAGACAAACCATATTTATTTCAAAAGCTTCAATATCGATATCTCCGCCAACTATTTACTATTATTGAAGCCTTCAAAGGCATCATATTATCGGCAACGAGGCGCTAGTTGGGATCTATAGTGCCTAGTTATGGAATATCCTATTTTTAAATGAGGGAAGCGTTCTAGTACTATTCAATAGTCTTGTATTGACAACAATAGCAAATTTCATGATAGGTGTTGTATTCACGACGACAATAGGACTTTATTTGATTGTGTCTGTGATTGTATAGTAGAGTGACTACTATTCAAGCCACAGCTATATACAACCATCCGTAGCAAAAAACAAGAACACATACCAACAATAGACCTTTATGTTAATATTATACGTGACTACCTTCTTTTCTCACTCCAACCCTGACACATTGCTTTTCATACTGCATTGTACATCGATTTGTGGAGAATCATGGTTCATGCTCCAATTGTCAAAGCCTCGTTGCCATGAAGATAAGCAAAGTGTTCTTTTCATTACCTCTACCCTTGAGGTAATATCCACACACTCCATATTTTCTTTCATATCTTTTCCTGTGTTGTACGTCCTAATAGATGATGTTAGGAGGAAGTTGCATGCCCTGCCAATCGGCCGGTCCGCTCGGCATGCCGTGAGAATTGCCGATTTGGTTTAGAGTACAGAGTACACGGGCACTAGTATTATGACATCACGGTCTTTAACTGACCAGAACGATATATCCTCAACAAGTAGAAAGTCGCCCCTGCTGCAATGGATGCATGCAAATTGCTCTTTATACTTTGGCTAGGCTCTACTACAATCCTAGATACTAATGCACATCACCTAGGGGTTGTTTAGAAAAGTCTAGAGAGAAGCACTGAGGCTCTCTCCCACAACTGCCGTAGACTTTATTCCCGAAGACAACTGCCCTTGGAATGGATAGCGAAGAACAATACTGCTTCGCCGGTTGGGAACTTAACCTAAGCAACTCGACATGGTTGATACCGGAGTAGTCAAGGAAATCAAGACGGTAAAAGTGGGACTCAGAACGACTAGCCTGGATCATAAACACGGTAATTTTGCGTATACGTTAGTAGTGATTGTCGATTGGATGGTGAAAACCTGGACTACTCAGTCATGGGCGAATTTAGTAGTACTCCGCACTGTAAGCGAACATATGAAGCATCAACACTCAAATCGGTTCACCGATTAGTGTTCCTAATGCATCTGCCTGCCACAATCGCCGAGCCTATTTCTATATTCCCCATTCCAACTCCCTACACTGGAAGCCCCATCAGTTAAATTGAAAGGCAAAAAGCATCGGCATGTTCAGTGACCAATGACAGGCGGCAGAATCAGTGCAGAATCCCGGCGATTCTGCCGATACTTCAGGTCACGTGAGAATACTCCACATGCCGACTTTTGCTTCCGCAGGGACTCCAGACTCTCGGAACGAGCGACGGCACTGACCTCAGTGCTTCCCCACACGCTCAGTTGTCCTTCCCCCAATGACATACCGCCATGCCATATTGCTTACTAGCCCGGGACCCTCCCCTGCTGCAATTCATTACCTGATACCCCAACTTGAGAAACTATCTATGGCATCTCCCGTCGATCCAACCGAACATGAATGCCGTTGTGGTTCCCCGTGGCGGGCTTCGATACTGCTCCTCGGGATCCCTCCACCAAGCTCTCATTTATTCATAAATGAGCGCTTCACCCTTTGAGATTCACTTCTTCTCCTTGTAACACTTTCACTTAACCTCTTTATTTATTCATGTTGGTGATGCTTTGATCTTTCAGAACTTTTACCTCTTATTGTCATTTGTCGATCCTCATCCCCACAGCCGCGAATACCAAAGCAATCAAAAGCTTAATTATCGCATTTTGCCGCCAGCATGGCTCAAACCCAAGAGAAGTACGATATTGTCATCGTGGGCGCAGGCCCTGTTGGCATTCTTTTGTCCCTGTGTATGTCAAGATGGGGTTATAAGGTTAAGCACATCGACAACCGCCCAGTCCCCACTGCTACAGGTCGCGCCGATGGTATTCAGCCTCGTTCCACTGAGATTCTCCGTAACCTCGGCCTGAAGCGCCAAATCATGGCCTACAAGCCCGCCAAGGTTTACGATGTCGCATTTTGGGATCCTCTCGCCGGGGAGCAAGGCATTCATCGCACTGGCAGCTGGCCTAGTTGCCCACGTTTCATCGACACTAGATATCCTTTCACAACCCTTGTTCACCAGGGAAAGATCGAGCGTGTGTTTTTGGACGAGATTGAAAAGGCCGGTACTACGGTTGAGAGACCCTGGACTATTACCGGATTCAAGAATGATGGCTTGGACGAGACCTACCCCGTCGAAGTGCAGCTGAAGTGCCTTGACACCAATGTGATCGAGACCGTCCGCTCTAAGTATCTCTTCAGCGGTGAAGGAGCCCGGAGTTTTGTCAGACAGCAGCTCGGTATCCAGATCCATCACAAGGATCCTATCTCCTATGTGTGGGGTGTTATGGACGGTGTTGTGAGGACAAATTTCCCTGATATCGAGGTGAGAATCCCAATCTTCATGGTCCGGCTGATCAAACACTGACAAACTTTTCGCTTCAAAACAGACCAAGTGCACAATCCACTCTGACGCTGGTTCGATCATGGTAATTCCCCGTGAGGACAACATGGTCCGTTTGTATGTCCAGATCGCTTCATCCTCAGATCCCGACTTCAACCCAAGAAAGACGGCGACTGCGGAGGAAGTTCAAGAAACTGCGAAGAAGATTCTGAAGCCATACTGGGTTGAATGGGATCGCGTGGAGTGGTATTCTGTCTACCCAATTGGGCAGGGTATCGCCGAGAAGTATACTCTGGACGAGCGAGTCTTCATGGGTGGAGATGCCTGCCACACTCACAGTGTATGTCAAGCCATCTTTAAAAAAACAAATTTCTTCGAGCTAACCCTCCTTTAGCCTAAGGCCGGCCAAGGTATGAACACTGCATTCCACGACGCTTTGAACATGGCCTGGAAGATCCATGCTGTCGAATCTGGACTCGCCGATCGCTCTACTTTGAGCACATACGAGAGCGAGCGCAAAGACATTGCAGAGACTTTGTTAAATTTTGATGCGAAATACGCCGCCCTGTTCTCCAAACGCCGTCCCACTGCTGGAGAGGTTGGCTCCGCTAGCCATGCCACTGTAGCGTCTGGCGGTGACGAGGAGGATGAGTTTGTTAAGACCTTCAAATCATCATGCGAATTTACCAGCGGTTATGGCGTTGCCTACAAGCCGAACGTCTTCAACTGGGATGCTAGTCACCCGGCCAAGTCGTCTCTGTTCGACGTTCCTGGTGTGAGACTGACCGCAGGACGCTCTTTCACGCCCTCGACAGTCACTCGACTGGCAGATGCCAACTTTGTGCATTTGGAGCAAGAGGTGCCAGCTAATGGTGCATTCCGTATCTTTATCTTCGCAGGTAAACAGGAGAAGACAAAGAAGGCCATCACCGATCTTGCAGCAAACCTAGAGAAGGAGCGCTCGTTCCTGTCGGTCTACCGCAGATCCGACATTGCTGATGTTTCATTCTTTGAGCGTCACCAGCCCCACTCCAAGCTCTTCACCCTCTGTTTGGTGTACGCTGCGCAGAAGAACCAGGTCGATATGGAGGCTGTGCCCCAGATTCTCCGCGATTACCACCACCACATCTACGCGGACGACATTCCCGACGTGAGAGTCCCCAATGCCAAGTTCGCCGCACACGAGAAGCTTGGCTTTGACCCCGAGATGGGAGGTGTAGTTGTCTGCCGCCCAGACAGCCATGTTGCCTGTACCGTGCAGTTGGTGGAAGGCAGCGGCACCGCGGATGCCCTGAACGCCTACTTTAACGCTTTCTCGACCAAGCCGTTGGGCCAGGACCAACAGCAAAGTCGTCTTTGATACACGATGAACCTGTCTATTTTATAGCTTTTGATGTACATAGCACCTTGGTCTTTCTGTCATATTGGCCCTGTTTGAGCACTTACGTATGACCCGCATTCTTGGCGTTTGTTGTATAAATACCTGCAATAGAAGTATTCCCTAGAGAACATATATCTTAAGCTTGGACCATAATTCCGAAAATACTCTGTATTGTTAGTTGTGTAGCAAGGAATGTCATTGTTATGGGAGTAACGTTCCTGGTGGTGTGTGCGCGGAAGATGCCCACGGCGACTACATAAATCATTCTCTTCGCGGAAGTCATTCCCCGCACAGATCAATTATCAAGACCTTCAAGAGTGCGCTCAGCATTACAACTGTACCAACAGCCAGTCAACAAGATGCTTTCTCTAGTCCTTTCAGCTGAACTCACAGGGTAAGTGTGCTCTATATGTGGTTTCCAAATTATGACAAGCTCCACTTTATGATTTTTCGTCTTCTGTCTGCATTTATTTGCATAGCTTTCCCGCACCTCAATCGCTGGCAGTAGCTCACCTTAGTGTAGAGTCACTGAACTTCGCCCTCAAGACACTCCTGAGAACCCCTACTACTACACTTTCAAGGTGCAATGCACGTCCTGTCGTGAGACACACCCAAACTGGGTCAGCTTCAACCGTTTTGTAAGTCCTGTCTGGCCTATCGCCTCTCATCCGTTGTATCAATTCTTAAAAACTATTTTGACTCAAGCTACTTATGAATTATGCAGGAGCAACACGAAATCCCTGGAAGCCGCGGAGAGGCGAACTTTGTCTGGAAATGCAAGCTTTGCCAAGTCAGTTTGTTCATTCCATAAGTGCTTCGCGCTGCCTGCAGCTAACAAGTGTGACCAGAAAACCCATTCTGCCTCTATCGTCGCAGGTCCAAATGTGTACGAAGCAGATGAAAAGCGCAAGGGCCGGAAAGTGATCGACATTGACTGCCGCGGTCTTGAATTTACCGAGTTCAAAGCTGATGTGAGTGGCGCTTCATCATTGTAAACGACTAGAGGTGATTCTAATAGGCAACTAGGGCGAATGGGAGGCTAAGGGCACCGAGTCTTCCACTCCTTTCACGGCCATCGACCTGTCTGAGAGCGAGTGGTATGACTATGATGAGAAAGCTGGAGATGAAGTTTCCATCAAGGAAATTACCTGGGAGGTGGGAAGAGCTTGAGAGGTCTCATTATACTGAGGATACCGTACCATTGATGGCTATTTGGTCTACAATAGCATTCTGAATTGTCTCATTACTATCATTTCTGTTTAAACTGCCGGGGTGATCGTGGCTGGAAACATCTAGTAGTATCTTCATGCTATCGCTTCTGCAGTGCGATATTTTCGAACATGAGGAAAGTGACATAATGAGGGATACCAGCCATATGTGCCATATACAAGGGGCCAGATAAATGGCAATATTGAGGAGTGCAATTTTTACCGAAACTTGATGTACCTACGTTAGCTTTTTGACTTCGGATAAAGGCGGTGACTGGAGGCATATTATCATTGGCTGCTTCAAGACCGGGCAATATTGCATTTTTGGCTGACAAGGAACCTTCAATTCGCCGGGCGAGAGTTGGCGACCGCGATAATCCTTTTACTAGCTCAACACGCGACCAGCACAAACAGCACCTCGGCGCTGGAACTAGTCTTTGATTCAGCTGGCTGTTTATCCTCTTGCCGAATCGACACGTTATCATCAAACGGGTTACGCTATCTTTAGAACTGTTCAGTCGCGGACCCTGACTAGACAACCATAACCATGAGTGTCAGTATTTAGTACTTGCTCTTTTACAATTCAGGTCCAGCTGGACTTGTTAACATAGTGTCTTTGGTTTATGCTGACCTCGTTTGCAGTTCCAACCAGTCAACCCCCGCCCTTTCTTGCAGACTAGGTACGCATTAATATCATCCAATCGCGCTTTTTCGATCGCATTGAGCCTTTCTTCCGGCTAAACCAGACCCCGCGAGTATTGCATGTCTAACAGATGTGTTATAGGTCGGTACAGAGATGGTTATTCGTCTCAAGTGGGGTCAGACCGAGTACAAGGGCAAGCTGGAGAGCATCGACTCGTACATGAACGTGCTATTGCGGGACACGGAGGAGTTCATTGATGGAAAGAACACAGGAACTCTTGGACTTGTGCTTATTCGGTATGCTTATTGCTCTTGCATGGTTGGGGTTTGGCGGATGGGTAGTTCTCCGCTTGAGGACCGATTGTGCTTTCGTTTCAATTCACGATGATGAAGAAACCTTCGCTGACCTTCCACTTCATATAGGTGTAACAACATTCTCTGGATGGGATCGGCAGACAACGTCGAGATGACGGACCTGGGGCTGCGGTAGAGAAAGGTTCGACCGGGCGTCGTTTACGAAACACCATGCGAGAACGAAATGCAAATACCAGCTTGTGTCTCCTTGGGAAAGATACGTCGGTGGACGAAAGAGAATTGTTAAATGAGCTTTGAGAACTGGCTATCACAGGCTCTGTCTATCTTCTTGTTTCTGGCACGAGGCGTTTTCAATGATGGCTTCTAAATACAATATTTTTGGGTGACATGGCAATTCAATCTGCAAACGACGAAGAGCCTAGAATTTGCGATCTAAGGAACAAGAAAAAGCCCTCTTTATCGCTGGCGCTCGATCGTCGAATAATGGCAATGTCGTGCTGTTTACGAAGCATGCGACAATAAAATGTCTTAATTTCTTGAAGTATATAACCGCTTAGACCAACCAAATTAAAGGAAGAGTGGAAAACAACCCAAAGGTTTTTTTTGGGATACATTGACTGTATGGAGACAATGAGTAATTATAGGTGCTCCTGGGCAGTGCTATCGTGATTATGCCGGGCGAATGAAATTACCCCACCTTATAGAAATTCCCAATGGCTCGCTGTCTGTCCTTCTGCCGAACAACATCTGACGGAAGTGATACCGACACATTTTTATTTGGTTGATTTAGCACCTAGTCGATCACATATGATGAGTATCCATAGTCAAAATACAGACGGTTACTACAATCTGGGGTCGTTCCACCGGCCGGTGGCCACCGCCAGCCCCGAGGCTCAGACCTGGTTTGATCGAGGGCTCATTTGGACATACGCTTTCAACCATGAGGAGGCAGTTCACTGTTTCGAAAAAGCCCTCGAATATGACCCCGCTTGTGCCATGGTGTACTGGGGGCTTGCGTATGCCCTAGGTCCTAACTACAACAAGCCATGGCAATTCTTCGACCGGCGGGAATTGGAAATGACAGTCCAGCGCACTCATCAAGCAGCTGAAGATGCCAGAAAGCACGAGACTACGGCGAGGCCCGTAGAATCGGCACTTATCGAAGCTGTCCAGAAACGATACCCGCAGGACCAGCCATTAGGAGACTGCTCGTCGTGGAATCAGGGATACGCCGATGCTATGGCATCTGTGTACCAAAGGTTTCCAGATGATCTAGACGTCGCAACACTGTATGCAGACGCGTTGATGAACCTGACACCATGGGAGCTGTGGGATCTGCAAACGGGTCAGCCGGCACCAACCGCACGCACCATTGAGATCAAGACGGTGCTTGAGCGAGCGTTAACACAGGACGGAGCTCTCCGTCACCCTGGGTTGTTGCACATGTACATCCATCTGATGGAGATGTCGGGAGCACCCGAAACGGCTCTTCTGGCTGCGGACAACCTCCGTGGATTGGTACCTGATGCAGGCCATCTCAATCACATGCCTACACATCTGGATATTCTATGTGGCGATTATCGGAAGGCAATTGCATCTAACTCTGAAGCGATCCGAGCCGATGAGAAGTTCCTTGCTCGCGCAGGAGCTGTTAACTTCTATACCCTTTACCGGTCTCATGACTATCATTTTAGAATCTATGCTGCTATGTTCGCGGGGCAGTCGAGGGTTGCCCTGAATACTGCTGAAGAGCTGGAGTCATCCATCCCAGATGAGCTTCTACGTCGCGAGTCACCACCTATGGCCGATTGGCTTGAAGGGTTTTTGGCAATGAAGGTACATGTCTTGATTCGGTTCGGTCGGTGGCAGGATATCATGCAACTTGACGTTCCACGAGACGAAAAGCTGTACTGTGTGACAACCGCAATGATCCACTACGGAAAAGGCGTTGCGTTCGCTGCAATGGGACAGGTCGACCAGGCAGATAAGCAGCGAGAGCTCTTCCATAAAGCCTTAAAGCGTGTTGCATCCACCCGCATGCTGTTCAACAACAAATGCATTGACATACTAGCTATTGCAGAGGCAATGCTTGACGGAGAACTGGAGTACCGCCGGGGCAATTATGATGCTGCCTTTAATCACCTGAAACGATCAATCTCTCTAGATGACAGTCTTCCTTACGATGAACCCTGGGGATGGATGCAGCCAACTCGGCATGCTTATGGTGCTCTTCTACTCGAGCAAGGGCGGGTTGAAGAAGCGTCGGCAGTGTATAGTGCTGATCTGGGCCTAGATGACACCTTACCTCGTGCACTGCAGCATCCGAACAACGTGTGGTCGCTGCACGGCTATCATGAATGCCTGATTAAGCTTGGCCGAATTGCCGAGGCAAGGATTATCAAGCAGCAATTGAAGCTTGCAGCAGCTACAGCTGATGTCCGAATCCAATCGTCATGCTACTGTCGCCGAAGTGATACTGAGCAGAACTGTAATTTTGATCCTTCGCTATAGTATCTTGACCTGTCGTTAACTTTTTCTAATCTTTGTAATTACTCCCAAATTATGTTGACGATCCCCCTTGAAATCCAAACTTTTCATCACTACTTTCACTCTGTAACTTACCAACTTTTATCTCTCCACTCTATTGATATTGTGAGGTGAGGATTGTCTCAAGTAAGTGCTCGTATGGCTTCTCTCTGCATCCTTTGCACTCGGGCGCTAGAAGGCTGACAGACATTCTAGAAGCATGGCACTACCTCGGATACTCTGCGCGGTTTCGGGAACACTCTACTGTGCCATGGAACAGGCTCCTTTCCTGATGGAGAAGAAGAATAGCCTGAAATTCTTCGGTTGTGTATCATCAGAGATCTGCTGAGTCTAAATTGAAAGAGCACAGGATTTTGCCCATCCTAAGTTTTGATCAACACACCATGCCAATCCCCCTCACTGACGATCTCTTGCTCGGAACAAGAGTGGGTATGTATAATCTCCTCCGTATTTCTCAGGCACCAACCCCACCGTCACCAAATTCTGTTTTACACCGCTTCATTGTCAATGGCCTTCATTTCTACAAAGCCCCTTCAAGCCCACTTTCTAAGGGGCCCCTCTGATTCTGACAGGTGGCTCACCGTGGAACATACCCGAGAAGTTCAAAACTTCACATACTCCGAAGAACGGAACTCCATTCATCTTGTACTGCGCAGTACAGCCGCCTGCATCCTAGCTCGTGGTGATCCACTGTGATGGCAAAAAATCCAGTCCACTTTCTCGCCCGAAGAAGCAGGCCTGCCGACGAAATGGTTCCACAATGACAAAGTTTGCTTTGCGCTGGCGCTCTAAAGAAGTTGTGAATCCACTTCAATTGGCGACGGCAACTGAAAGTGACAAACAAAATGGTTCATTATCGCGCTCGTGCTTACTCCTAGCGATAGTTGGGAATGCTATGGCTCCTCGCCTAGCTTTCCTATAGTAATGTTATTCAGTATAGTAGCTCGTCGACTGGTCAACCGATGCTGTATGAGGTCAACATGCGTCGAATGCAATGCTTGATGCATATGATATGTTTGACATGTGCAGCTGCTGACAGGGTGAATAAATGTAGCAAGTAGCGCAATGAGGACGTTACTTAGAAAAACTAGTGTGAAAGGGAAGGGGTGAAATAGAAAGCTCCAAAATAAGTATTGTGGTGACTGGGGTCTGATGAAGTCATCACTGAGTGCTATACTGTGTATGTGCTATGCAGTAGCCGTTGTCGTATCGGGAAGAAAGTCGCCTCGAGAGTGAGTTACACGTGTTTTGATCTCCTACTGGTAAACCGCAAGCATTCCCAAATCTGCTTACGTTTCTCCTGATGGCTGATCTTGACCAATTTTCCGAGGTTGCCGCGGTTAGATATTCGTGATTATAAGGCGGTATTCATGTGTGTTTCATATGGGTGAGTTGTTCGCTGTCTCATTCCTTACAATAAAGCACGGGTGGAGAGGATGGAGACGGCAAAATCGCGAAAACCGCGGCCGCCGTTTAGAACGCCGTGAAATAAGAATCGTCGCTTGCCCGCAATATGGAGCCATTTGGTGGAGGGAAGGCCCCACCGTGAAACTCATCCGGGCTCTCCTGTGGCGATGGCTCGGGGAGATTGGAGTTTTCAAGACTGCCACGGCAGATCACCACCATCACCGCTGCATGTATTACAAAGGATTGGTCCATCTGCCTTTCTTGACCTTCTTTGCAGGACAAGATTCCCCATCAACTACTGTATGCGGGAATCCTTCGTCACTATCAGTATCCATGTATCCGAGTGGATCATATTGGCTCACTGAGCAACCCAAAGCGAATCACCATCCGATTTGAACGGACGGTGTGGTTAATTGCAGGCTATCTCTGGTTCACTTTCGGCGATACCATGGATTGAAGCAAGTCAACCGATCTCCGATTAAGATTTTGAAGGCTTCCGCCAGTTCCGCCCACTGTGGTGGCTCTTTCGGCCCCATTGGCCCGCCCTTCCCAATGATCTGCTTCGGAATTTTGCTCGCTGATGCTTGAGAGGCTTAGTAGGGCTGTTGGCGAAAAAATTGAAAAAGGGAATATGAGGCAAAAAATCAGTTCCCTCGAATCTTGGCATGTCACTGCTTGCGGTCGGTTCTTAAACCCCCTGGCCCACGGTCATTGTTCCATTCTTGTTCTCCGCCAGATTGCGTTGCATTGTTTTTCAGACCGTAGCGGCTGTCGGTTTCTTGATCATGTCTTTGCCACTGTCCAATGATGTCCTCCTCCTGGTTGGGGAGTACCTGGAAGACCACCAAGACCGATATAATCTTGTCTTTGTATGTCGACGCTTTCATGATCTCTTCCTGCGTCTAGTCTATAGATCTGCGACGCTCAAGAGTTGTGCGCAAACCCGATCTTTTTTACATGCCATTCTCCGTAAGCCCGAGCTGGCTCGGTCAGTGCGGAGTGTGCACTTTGATGATTGGCAACAACATCATTCCTTCTCTTCTACCTCCTCGTCCGAGCAGGATATGACATCATTGAATAATTGGGCTGAGACTATTAGCCATTCTCATGAGGAATATGTCAAATGGGAGCAGGATCTTCGCCAAGGCGTCGAGGAGGCCTGGATAGCACTCCTTTTACCCTTGGTGAACAATCTTAGACAGCTTCGATTGGTGTATCCGAAGAAAAACGTATACCTCGATCGAATGCTGCAGAGGGTCATGAAGGGCGAGAAACCCTTTGATGCGCAGCCCGCATTCAGCATGTTGCAAGAGGTATCTCTCAGCCATCAAGATTCCGAGGAGGATACCAAAGGCAGCTATATGCCATCGCAGATCTTGCCATTTTTCCAATTGCCATCAATGCGGACGTTTTCAGCGGATTCGGTGATTGAGTCTAGCCCCCCGCAAGACGATGAGCACATATCAACACCTAAGGCCCCGGTGGCCAGGTCCTCTCTGATCTCGGAGATTACTCTCAATTCCAGCAATGGTTCTCAAGGAATGGAGAACTTAATTGCTTCATGCTCCTCACTCAAGTCTTTCAAGTATCAGCACTCTGATTCACACCTGCTTGCAGAGGGCTTCCAACCATCCGCGTTTTACCGGTCGCTGGCAGGCAGTAAGAACAGCCTACATACTCTTTGGCTCGATAATTACGGGAACCATCTACCATTACTATTGCCGGAGTCAATGAAACCCACGATGAATGGTTCGGCAGCTTGGCAGATTTTATCGCGTTGGAAGACATCCGAATTCGCCTACCCAATCTGCTCGATATCCGATACCAACCTGAGCCCTCCACTGTGCTTACCGATATTTTGCCGCCGTCGGTAAAGTCTCTTTACGTTGAAGGCTGTAAAGAGAACACCCTGGGAATGTTGATTGGGCAGCTGAAAATGGTGCTCAACAAGCGACAGACCCGCTTCTCTGGATTGCGACGCTTAGATATTGAAGGTTTCTTCCATGACGAGGAAGATGAAGACGCCTCAGGATACCAGGAGAGCGCGGCTACTACCGGGGGCCAGAAGACCATCAAGCCACGAGTATACGAGATGGCTGAGCCACTCCGGGCGGCCTGCGCTGAGGCTGGGATCGAATTGTTCCTCCGCGACCGTGTGGTTTCATAATGGTCTCGACGCATTTGCATCTTATTTATAGACGATAGATCGTGTTTTTCTTTCTTTTGTTTGTTTGCGTAATACCCGATAGATATGATAGACATGCTTTACCTTGGTATTTGAGCCTTTCCTCGTTTTCCTTTTTGTTGCTGCTATATCTTATTTCCCTAGAATGAAAAGAATCTATAGTACGTCTGATGGTCCTTTGAGAATTACTACACCGTAATATCACTGCCAGCTTACGGGGCAACGATCATATCCCCATGCACTGTCGATGAAGCCCAATAGTGGCTTATTGGAGTATGATTTGCTGAGTCCAGGCTCGGTTTAATGAAGATGACTTGGCTCGAATAGTCACCGATAATAGCTTACCGGCCTAAGGGAGATACAGTAGTATTGAATGGGCAACAATGCATCCTCATTTGATGCTATTGGCAGGACTCCAAGTTCATCATTTCCCTTGTCGAACATGTGATTGTCATGATGCTGGGCGTAAGAATAATAGTAATTTGCTTTAATAGATATAGACCAAGGATGCCTATAAATCCCCAATGTAACATCGACAGAACCCTCCATTAAACCCCGTGATCAGAATGCGATAATTTAGAGGACTGGTAGCGGCGTAGTAAGGGAGTAAAAGTTGTATCTGCCTAGCCAAAGCGTCGGGCTTTATATGATGGATTCCTCGGAGAGGAAATATCGTGCGGCATCAACCGAAAGGAATGAATCCTTTTCCAATCAAGACCAGAATCCAGCCATGACTGTCGCAACCCTGAACAGCTTTCTCCGCATTCACGTCACATTGGGGTTCTCCACAGCTCCAATGAGCTGTCTGGGGTCCAATAACGGTCAACCCAATAGGAGCCTTACAACCACGGTCCCAGTCATCATCGGACCAAATGTTCCTATGCATATGAGGTCGTCTTGCAAGGCACTCCGGTCGCTCAAGCCATTTCGTCTTCCTCACCTGGAAGCCTCGCGCACTCCCATTTTGTCTCTCATCGTGATCCTTTTACTCTTGTCGTAATTCATTGATGGTATTTTAGTGACTGATTTTCCTCAATTTTTCATCACATTGGTTTGAGCGCCCTAGAGAGTCTTCATTATTCTCATCGATCAGTCTAGACGATAGACATACACTATACACCATGGCACATAGCTCGATCGATCAAGTGGAGGATCCCACTTATAGTCGCGAAAAGAAGGATGAAAATGTCGAAACGCCGCCAATATATGACAATCCGTTTGGGGATGAAGAGTTCGCAGAGGTCAAGTATCGCACCTTGCGCTGGTGGTAAGCACTCCCATAATGCAAATCCAATTATACCTTGCTGAATCTGTTAGGCAATGTGGAATGAGTACATTCCAACCACATCATGGTAACACGTATTATTTGCTGACTTGACAGTCATGATCGCCGAGACTATTTCGCTGGGCATTCTATCGCTCCCTTCGGCCATGGCGGCGCTCGGCCTTGTTCCGTGAGTGTTCATTGGCAACGTCCTCTTGTCGAGACTTTGGTGGCTTGGTGGCTGATCCTAAGCATTTTGCTTGGCTATACTGGATAGGGCTGTGATCCTCATCATAGGCCTCGGCTTGGTAGCTACGTACACAGGGTACGTTCTCGGCCAGTTCAAGCTGCGATATCCCCACGTGCATAGTATGGCAGATGCTGGTGAAATATTGCTGGGCCGATTTGGTCGCGAATTCCTGGGAACTGCCCAATTGGTCTTCTTGATCTTTATCATGGGTAGTCATATCCTGACTTTCACCGTCATGATGAATACTGTAACCAATCATGGCACCTGCTCCATTGTGTTTGGGATAGTCGGCTTAATCCTGTCTTTCGTTTGCACTTTGCCTCGTACCTTGAAGAAAGTGTCCTGGCTGTCAATTTCCTGTAAGTTGGGGTTGCCGCTCGGAGGAAGGGTGATTGAGCTGACGATCACAGCATTCATCAGTATTATCGCGGCCGTTCTGATCACCATGATCGCTATTGGAATCCAGCGACCTGGTGACGGGCATATCGATGTCACCGTCGATACCAGTTTATACAAGGGCTTCTTAGCTGTGACAAACATCGTCTTTGCTTATGGTACGCTGAGTATGGTCGACTCCAACAAAGCATACACTAACAACGACATAGCTGGCCACGTCGCTTTCTTTGGCTTTATCTCCGAGATGGAAACACCAACAGATTATCCCAAGACCCTGTATCTGCTTCAGGCAACTGATACAACCATGTATACCGTCACTGCTTTAGTCATATACCGATATGGTGGCAAAGACGTGTCATCCCCCGCATTGGGATCAACGAGTCCATTGCTCTCGAAGATCGCCTACGGAATCGCCATACCGACGGTATAGCTCACCCCATGATTGCATGCTGCAACGGCTGATAATGGACTACTAGATCATAATTGCTGGCGTGATCAACGGGCATGTGGCCTCCAAGTACATATATGTTCGTCTCTTCCGAAACACAGATCGCATGCACAAGCGGAATCTGGTGTCAATAGGGTCATGGATTCTGATCGGATTGGTGCTCTGGACGCTCGCATGGATTATTGCCGAGGCGATCCCAGTGTTCAACAACCTGCTGAGTCTGATCGTAAGCTTTGCATTCCATGTTACTTGTATGAAATCCGATGATGCTGACTATCCTATAGACGGCATTGTTCGCCAGCTGGTTTACGTGTAAGTTATCCTGACCTTTTGGGGACAACAAGCTAATGCATGCAAAATAGATGGAATGAGCGGCATTTTCTGGCTTTTCATGAACTGGGGCCGTTACACATCTTCCCCCCGGAAGATATTCTTGACCGTAGTCAATTTGATCATTGTTGGCATTGGTGGATGTCTGGTGAGTTTTCTCAATCTCCGTTTCCTTCCTTCTGTTAGGAAAATATAGACTCACGAATATCAGTGTGGACTAGGATTGTACGTATCAGGCAAAGCCATCCACGACGATCCAAGCAATGCTAGTTTCTCATGTGCCAACAATGCCTGATTGATGGCGATATAACTTGGTTTAACATATCCTTGGAGGTTTATATCTCGACTTGCTGTGGCAACACACTGTCATATAGACATATACGTCGCGGAAGCTTCCAATCAATGACCCGTAGTTCTTTGGTTTTCGATTTAAGCTACTAGTAGTGCCATAGCTTGCGTGGTGATTGGACGGAATCATGGGGATAGGGAGCCCTGTGTAGGACAAGTAAAATAGGTGCATAAAGCTATACACGACGCACTGACTTCTGACAGTGATGTTAAAGATACTGAAAGGATGGGTTGGAGGAGGGTGGCGGAGAGGAGAGAGGGGGGGTTTATACTCCGGCGGCTCTGGCACGAGCCTTAGTGCCTTACGCTAAGTCACGATGCAAGAAGGCGACAAATGCCTCTGGGGAAGTCACGACCTTGTAGGTATTGGGAAGGCTCGAGAGGGGCCAGATCTGAACTAATTCTGCTCGACTTCTGATCAACACAACTACGATAGTGCTTACCTTACGCACTATGATTATATCATATGACTGCTACTTCGTATTTTGCATGAAGCTTGTTGATATAACCAATATACCAACACGCCACAGCCTTTCCCCAAGAGCCTAACGCCAGGTTACCATCTAACTTCATCGGACCCAGACATTACCCACCCCCCTCATCCCACCTTCAGCATAAAGCTCCCACCATGGAACATCTATACTCTTAGGAAGGAGCCAACTTCATCCCCCGAATACGCTTCTCTTTCTCAAACAACAGAAACAATGACAAAATGACCAAAATTAAGACAAATGTGTAACCTTCCAAGTTTCCACCTGCGACATTCCCTGGCCATTTATTTCCACCTACCCAGCAGATCTACAAGCAAGCAACCGCTTCCGCAATTCTCTCCAGCAGTGGACGACTTCTTCACGGCTCTCAGCGAAGTCTCCGTTCCCGAACCTGTTCCGCGACAGCAGCAAACTGAAACGGAAGCGGCGAGTGAGTACCTGGGCCTTGAGCGGATGCTTTCCGAATATCGGGTTAGTGGGACTATTGAGTGCTTGAGTGAGATTGCTGCGCCGGGGCCTGTTAGGAGGTCTGTTTCTGAGTAATTCTCTTTCTTTTGTCGGAAAATTTCTTGGGTGGATATCTGGTTGCGTTCTTGTCGTGAGTAATGGGTCTGATTACGTGGGGATGAAGTTTGGGATTCAGCGTGAAGGGAAAGGGAATGTGCCGAGTGCAATAGTATTGCTATGCTGAGTGGAATGGGGGAGTGGTTACCTTTAATGGAATTTAATGGTCGGATATGATGGTTTGTCACACATTGTGAAGAGGGGGATTTGTGTTCTTGTCTTTGCTTTCGCTCCGTACCTCAAGACTGCTGGTTATGTATGATCGACCAATGGACTATTATTCTAGCTAGCCATGTCTGGGACAGCAATGAACCTATCGGACGATGATTTTAGATCTGGAATATTAACAATGGCTTGTTCATCGAAAGGCAGATGGACTCTTCAGCATTACTGCTTTATGAGTTAGTAAATATCTATATCCCGAAGCCGAAACCATGAATTTAGATCTTAAGAACCACCCTTGACAGACGAGCCCGACCTCTCGGCCTAGCGAGAAGTTGAGCGCCTGTGTGACTATCTACCCTATGGATGGCAAAAGTCCCGACATGTTCTACTCGTCATAAAACTAGACAACCAGCCTCCATCAGGCACAATTCTTGAAGACATTCAAGACCAGAATCCCGAAGGATTTTACATCCAGGTTTAATAATTTATAGTTTCGGCTGAGGGTCGGCTGTTGGAAAGAGCGTTGAATGCCGAGCTGACTAACTTCATCCAACTTTCGAATTTTGATAACACAAAAAGGATACATGATTAGGATGAATAGGTTGAGATCCCTTTAGATTGATTGGAGATGCAAAAAGAAGGCAACGGGAGAGACATGGAGAGTGGCTTACAGCACCTAAGATCAATCTCTTTCGATTGGATTGAATTGTACACCTAATACATTAACAGTCTCTCAACACATTGAGTCACTATTAAGTTGCAGCAAGAAAATATATATTTGTAGTTTATCAACTGGCAGTGGCCCTGCTTAGAGATAATAAAGGAACTGTAGTATCACCGTGAACGATAATTATCTTTTTTGCTAGAGGAGCTTTTTGTTGGACTCAGGTTTGAGACGTAGACCTTAGGGCTGTCAGAAGACTATAGTGTGTTACGGAAACCATGCTTCTGTTTGATGATAATACTACTTCTTCATAAACTAGTCTATAACTTGCATGTTTGCTATGTAATTCTTTCCCTGTTCTTATGTCGTGTGCTATGACTCTCGTCACCGTGTAATGATTAGAGTCAAGCAAAGCTGTTTCTTTCCAATACATTTATCGCCGTGAATGTGCCTGCTATAATGATTTCCTTATGTTTGTCTTCTACTACTGATGACCATGGTGTAAAAGCTGAAACGAGATTATACACGTCATCTCTACTAAAGAGAAGATCAACAATGCCGATCGATAGCGTTTAAGGACCAATATACGAAGGTTTCGGGACTCGGAAGAGGTAATTCAAGCTACCAACCTAGCGCGGCTCTCCCCTGAAATGACTCGGATCTTTCTACAACTACCATTGGATGGGCTTAGAGGAATGTTAAACACTATGCGACATTCCGATCGACCGAGAACAGCGAGGAGTCCGACAAAGCAATGTTCGGGTTATTTCTTACCCATGATGGAGAGCAGCTCAGAGTAATAATGGAATAAAATGACAATTTAACCTTCGTCATGGCCAGTTATCGACGTAGATAAATGCTATCTCCGTCTCATCCGTAAGGGGGGGAGGGGGAAGGCCCAAAGGGTGGAATAGATATATGCTCATAGAATGACACAAGCAGCCTCGGCAAACGATAACGATAAGCGCGGGAATGACCAATACCGATGTATCAGTGCGATAACACATGCGAGGAAACGCGATCATGTAATGGAGTCAACTAATGCGCTGTCCAGAACCCCCCAGTGGAGCAAAAGCTTGACGATCTTGGCCCCAGTGTGGCCATTAATCAACGTCCAACAGCGTCTGACAGCGTCTAACATGTCCAACCATGACCGTAGTAGACTTATCAATTGCCGATGGGATTCTGATAACACTACCTTACTGCCAAAGATAGGAAAAGGATTGCGTATTTGACCGCGCAGCTGTATATAAGCGATCCACTTTCCCCAGTTCCGCCACATCCGCCTTCTCCACGAGCATTGACTCGTCTCCTTGATGCATGGAAATGCCTCGTTGCTTTTTTCTAACAGGGATGAAGTACCAGGATATAGTCACCATGTCAGAAATCGATATTTTGATTTTCCACACCCACAAGTGAATGCAGTAGAGATGATGTTGCATCGGCGGCCTCCGGATTCATTTGTGCATGCAGATGAAGTATGAGTTCTGCTCAGGAGAACTCCTATACACGAGGTTGCCGTGGCCTAGCTATCCTTCGGATGATGCCTTCATGTGTTAACTGCATTTCTTCGGTAAGGATTGACTGCGACCATTTTTATTGGGTCACACGACTCGGATATTACCGTTATGACAAGGGACACTTTTGGCGAGCCAAGGAGCTATAGGACGAAGCGAGACTTCTTGGATTTCTTGGATTTCTGGGGTAATGCATATGCATCCAAATTGGACCCTGGACATCTGTGTATTAAACGTCGATCTATGAGCAATTGACCCTTTTCATTACTCAATACAATGATATCTGGCCCGAGGTTGAACTGCCGTCGGCCGGGTCCGATGGGAGGCAAAAGCCGGGATCGGTGGAGATTGACCGACTTAGGGTAAGCGGGGAAAGAATGTCAATGCCGTTGCTGCAAGCCACAGCATATGGGAGGGTGCTACCATGCCTCTGGGAAGCTTCGTTTAGCAGCATGTATACGAATCCTCGTGAAAGTTTGACTTGGACGAAAGCCACATGGCACGAATCGCCATGGAGAACACCCTCGATGGCAGCCATGATCACCCATTCCGATCATCGGCCAAGCATCTTGGACTCTCGCCTAGTGGCGTTCCTCAAGCAAAGCGAAGTCTGGGGAAAGGGCCCACGTCTTGGTACCACGGGTACCGCCGATGACCGGGAAATTAGCGAAAGGGTTATACCTTTTTATAAGATGCATCCAGGTTGCAGTGGGTTCAAATGGACCTAACGATCGCAGCGGGGCTGAATTGGCTGAGCCATTTCTATATGCAGTATTTCCCCGGATTAATTGCATGACTTTTCCATACCATTGCCTCATAATCAGACCACTTTTACGATATCACAGTGCGTGTTGCAGGTCTTGGCCATGCAGCCTTACTTTGGTTTGCGCGGTGCGCTTCTAAATCGGGCCATCATCTGGCTCGTCGTTTGCCCAGCATTCGTCTGTTATGGCTACAACCAGGGTGTCACCGGTGGGCTGTTGACCCTGGCATCGTTCGCCAGACAGTTTCCCCAGATGAACACCCTGACCACTGAGGGTGCCGAGCAGCATTATAACTCCACTATTCAAGGTAGATTTCCTGTGCCACCCTTGTCACAATTGTCACACCCCTGACTCTCGTCGCGTATAGGAACGGTGGTTGCATTGTATACCGTGGGAGGTATTTTCGGATCCCTGTCATGCATTTACCTGGGTGACCTGCTTGGGCGCCGGCGCGTCATTTTCATTACCTCGTTCATTTCCCTTGTCGGAGCAGTTCTCATGGCGACCTCGTTCCAAATGGCTCAATTCATTGTCGCCCGTCTGGTGCTGGGTGTGGGTACCGGCGGCTATGTTGCAACTGTACCTGTGTGGCAGGCCGAGATTTCCCAGGCTAAGAAGCGTGGCGCCCACGTCGCAACGGACGGCATTTTCATCGGCGCAGGCATCGCGATATCCTTGTGGATAGACTTCGGCTTCTACTTCGTGGATGGCAACTCGGTCTCATGGCGATTCCCACTAGCTTTCCAGGTTGTTCTATCGGTAGCAGTCATGATATTCATCACAATCTTCCCCGAGTCCCCCCGATGGCTTGTCAAGAAGGGGCGAAGGGAGGAAGCACGCGAGATTTTGGCTGCGTTAGCCGACCAGGACCCCCATTCGGAGAGTATCAACACAGCTCTCGCCGACATTGAGCGATCCCTGGCCATCTCTGGCTCCGGATCTTGGAAGGACATGTTGACAATGGGCGAGCAACGGTTGTTCCATCGGACGATTCTTGCCGCCACCGGACAAATGTTCCAGCAGATGTGCGGAATCAATCTGATCACCTTCTACGCCACCACCATCTTCGAGCAGTATCTCGGTCTCAACCCGTTACAATCTCGGATCCTTGCGGCATCCATGACTCTCACCCAGCCTCTCGGCGGATTCTTGGCTTTCTTCACCATCGACCGGCTGGGCCGACGACCGCTGATGCTGTGGAGTGCGGCGGGCATGTCGATAAGTATGGCGATATTGGGCGGCACCACATCGGTGACCGACAACACAGGCACACTGGTGACGGCTGTGGTGTTCCTGTTCGTCTTCGAGTTCATCTTCACCGTGGGTTACTCCGGATTGACCTTCCTGTATGCCACAGAGGTGGCTCCGCTGCAGCTGCGGGCCGCCATCAGCGCGGTCTCCACTGCCGCTGTCTGGACTTTCAACTTCCTTCTGGCGGAAGTAACACCAGTCGGCTTCAATACCATCTCCTACAGGTACTATATCATCTTCGCCGTGTTGAACGCGGCCATTGTACCGGTGGTATACTTTTTCTTCCCAGAGACCAACGGACGGACCCTGGAAGAAATCGACGAGATATTCCTGCAGTCGAAGACTGTTTTCGACCCGCCTCGTCTGGCGCGGACGCTGCCCAAAATGCATATCGCCCAAGATGTCGAACCCGAGGCAGGGAATGAATCAGGGGATAGCGTTGTGAAGGACAAGATGTAAATGAAGGCAATCCTTCGCAAGTGGTGGAGAAATGAAATTACTATTGACGGATAGTGTATGATCAACATGATACTTGCTAGTTCCAATACGGATGATCGGCTCCTCGGGCCGTTAGGGTTAAATTGAAGATATTCTTAATGGTTTTATCCGTGGTGTTCCGTGTCGCTTTCGCAGCGCGAGTCTGAATCAATCTGAAACGCATCCTGAGACACTCTATAAGGAAGGATCAGCTCAACATTATAAATTCCTCAGTAGGCGCCCAATGATTTGTATACCACAGTACCAGGATACCTCGTTCACACTGTACACCATGAAGTCATTCTTGTTCCTAATTCCCCTTGCCCACGCTGGAGAAGTCGTCTGGGACGGCTTCTTCAACTCCTCCTTCACGATCGATCAGCTCGACCAATGTAAGACTGATATATCACGTTCCATCTCCACATTAACACTAATATGTATTAGGGTCTTGGTCTAACCAAGTCGGCCCTTACCAATGGTATATCCACGGTTCGGAGGCTACCACGAACTACCTTGAAGTCAGCGCCGACTTCAAGAACCCGGCCGACAAGAGCGATGAGAAGGGCATCCGCATCAGCATTGTACAACGCCCCTCATATACACTTAGCTGAGGAAGAGTCACTAACGTATAGTTCTAAAGGACGATACCTCCTCCTGGAATGGCCAAACCATGATGCGCTCTGAGCTCATCCCTCAGACTGACGCCGATCTGGGCTCTGGAACCCTGTTCTACCATTTCTCCCTGCAAACCAAGGAGGAAAATGCCCCCAATGTGGCTCTTGAGCATCAAATTGCTTTCTTCGAGGTACTTTATCCTCCTACTTGCCTTTTAGTCTAGTCTTGTCGATGGATTGCATACGCTAACGACGGGTCCAGAGCCACTTCACCGAGCTCAAGTACGGCGGTGACGAGAAGACTCTCCGCTGGCTGACTGACGGCAAGTCGCAGTGGTCCACTGACCTCGTGGCTGGCACATGGTACAACTTCGCCTACGAGATTGACTTCTCGGCGAAGACAGTTGGTCTTTGGACCTCGACCGGAGCAGAGGCCCTGACGAAGGTTGTGGAGCCTGTCAGTGCGGCCACGCAGACCGATTCGAAGGATTGGCACGTTGGCGAGCTGCGTCTGGATAACGGACAGAAGGGAGGCAAGGAGGATTGGTTCTGGTCCGGTGTCTACATCGAGAAGGGCGAGATCACCACGGCCATTGCTGGCCCCGCTGCTTAAAGCACTTCATATTCTAATTCTTAGTTCTACAGCGTGTTAGGGGGATTGGATATTCTGTTAATCGAAGGTCATAGCATGCAAAATAGTTCATATTGCATTATGTCATCACATAAAAAGGTTTTGCATTAATCATCTCATGAATCGGACTCCAGCCGTGGATAACCCCCACCAGGTCATTTACCGCACGCAGTAACCACCATCAATGCGGAGATCACTACCAGTCATGTACGAACTGGCATCACTGCACAGGTACACATAAGCACCCTTCAACTCCTTCGCATCTCCATTCCGGCCCATGGGGATCATGCTCAACCAGAGATCCTGAATCTTCTGGTCCACGAAATCCGATAATCCCGTATCGATATAACCAGGCGAGATACTGTTCACACGGGCAAAGTCTCTCCACTCATTCGCCAGCGAACGCGCCATGTGGATACACCCAGCCTTAGCAACATTGTATGAGGTCTGCTCCTGTGGGAAGTTGGCAATGTGACCCGACATACTGGCCGTGATGACCAGGCTGCCCTTGCCCCGCTTCTTAAAGTGCGGCCCCACGGCCTTAGCGCAGTGGTACGTTCCGTTCAAATCCGTCTGCACAACCTCCATCCAGGCCTCGACGGTGGACTCCAAGACGCCACCGTCGGCGGTCCGACCGGCGTTGGCGATGAAGGCGTCAATCTGTCCAAAGTCCTTGATCACGTCGTCAACGAGCTTCTGGACGCTGTCGAAGTTGCCAATGTCGCATTTGTAGGCCTTGACTTCTACACCGTAGGTTTTCCTGAGTTCCTCTGCGTTCTTTTCGCCGCCTTGGGGACGGGAGGCGTAGGTGAGGGCGATGTTGGCGCCCATTTCCGCGCAGCCACGGGCGGCTTCGATGCCCATGCCGCGGGGGCCGGAGGCGCCCGTTACGACTACGACCTTGCCCTTCAGGCTGAGGAGGTCAGTCAGGGAGTTGGCGGAGGGAACGGGGATAGGCATGGTGAATTGTATGTACAGCGGACTGTTTTGCTTTTATTTTCAAGAGACAATTGAGGTACGGAGGATTGGATTAATTGAACATCGAATGCTGAGGTAGTATGAGGGCTATAAGTAGCTTATGCGGGCTGGCAGTGATGTCATGGGGAGTTGTTCTAGATTGATGATATCACGACTTCTCCTGCCCCTTCCGATCGGTCTACGAACTATTATTGGGCAATGCAATATCGCGGGGTTTTAATTGTGTTTTGTGGCGTATTAGAATAGCATTACGAGAAAGTTATGCGAGCGTGTTTTTCGTAGCAAGGGTACATGCGCGGAGATTAGGATAGCATTAGTAGAACATTATGAGAGCGGGCGTGTGACGGGAATGAAACCCTACACGGAATCTCAGAACCAACCGGATAGTGTTGCTACAATGACGACACGAGGTGGGCACTTAAGGTTCCACTTGCTAGCAAGGCATGTCGTCCTAGACCTAGATAGCAGGGACGTAGCGACACTAGTTCCATATTCACCTCCATCTTTGTTGATCAATTGGGGGACCTTGAGACCCAATTCTCGCGCTAATGTCGTCCGATCCCGTTGAAGCCCCCTCATTGCGGAGGGCGAGTACATCGCATGATAATAATTTTGACGATTCGTTTCTGGGACGGTTGGTTGAGACAAACTATACGCTAGTTGACTTGACTTGGTTTATTGATTCGTGACATAATAGGGTGCGGTCGTTCTTCAATCGAGATCGCCATGTCGGCGTCGTAAGCCATAATGATATCCGCGACCAAGAGATTGAGCTTCACACGTGGAATGGGAAAGATGATCCAGATAACCCGTATGTCTAGTCTAGTCGGGAAACTCTAGAACCTCGCTGAGAAAATGATCTAGGTTCAATTGGAGCACATCCTACAAATGGACGTTGACCATCACAGTCTGCATAATGTATGTTGGGCACTACTGAAGCCATGCCCACCCAAACCCTATACGAAGTCCTGCATATGCTAATGTAAAATACACAGATCAATCCTCACGGGTATTCCCGCTGGATCCTATGGCGCAGGCAACGACTACATGGCCGAGCGCTTCCATGTGCAGAATGAGCCATTTCCGAACCTCGCCTGGGCTACAACCTCATGGAACATGGGCGCCGCCTTCTGGCCGCTGATCTTCGTTCCCTTGACGGAATCGTCCGGCCGCATGCAGGGTACTTCGTAGCATACACCATCCTTGTCATCTCGCTATTCCCATCTGCATTCGCTCAGAACTTCGCGACCCTAGTCGTGACCCGCTTCTTCGGCGGAGGTGCCTCGTCCGTAGCCATCAACATCGTAGGTGGGAGCATCAGCGACGTCTGGTACGGCGACAAAGCCCGAAGCGTGCCCATGTCCCTATTCGGACTGACGAGCGTCATCGGTATCGCACTGGGACCGTTTGTGGGGTCCGCAATCCAAGCGATTCATAAAAATGACCCATGGCGATGGTGAGCACCCATCCACAAAGGATACAAACCACCACCCAAAGCTAACTACCAAACCAGGATCTTCTACATCCAAATAATCTACAACGCAGGCCTAATCCCTGTCTTCTGGTTCCTCTTGTACGAAACACGAGCAGACGTGATCCTCGCCCGGCGCGCAAAGAAACTCCGCCGCGAAACAGGACGTCCCATCTACGCCGAAGCGGAACTCGACCACACAAGCATCTGGAAACTCCTCCAAGTATCGTTCGAACGGCCGACCCGCATGCTGCTCACTGAACCCGTAGTCGCCTTTTTCACCCTCTGGATCAGCTTTGCCTGGGGCATCCTCTTCCTCTTCTTCAGCAGCGTCGTGCAGACCTTCTCCACGAACTACGGCATGAACACCCTCCAAACGGGCCTCATCCAACTGGCCATCTCCGTCGGCGCCCTAATCGGCACCCTCGTCAACCCCCTCCAGGACATGATCTACTTGCGCTCTGCATCCCGCAACAAAGAGAACCCCGGCGTCCCCATCCCCGAAGCCAGACTCTACACCTCCATCCCGGGGAGTCTGCTATTTGCCGGGGGATTATTCTGGTATGGGTGGAGCAGTTTCCCGCACGTGCATTGGATTGTCCCGACGTGCGGCGTTGCGGCGACAGGACTGGGCATTTATTCCATCTACATGGCTGTTGTCAATTATCTGACGGATGCGTACGAGAAGTATGCTGCTTCGGCGTTGAGCGCGGCCAGTCTGGGGAGGAACTCGTTCGGGGCGTTCTTGCCGCTGGCGAGTTATCAACTTTTTGAGAACTTGGGGTATGGGTGGGCTGGGAGTTTATTGGGGTTTATTGGCGTGGCGTTGAGTGTTGTTCCTGTTGTTTTGGTGCTGAAGGGGCCTGAGATTAGGAGGCGGAGTCCGTTTATGAGGGAGTCAACTTTTGCTGGGGCGGAGGCGAAGCCGGATTTGCAGAAGAGTGAGAGTTCTGGGGGGAGGTTTGTGGATGGGCCGGTTGATGTTCGCAATACTGGTAGATAATTAGAGGTGGATTTGGATTGTGTCTGCTGGAGTCTGTTGGGATGGAGTTGGTCGAGGTTCGGCGTTGGTGTTGGTCTTTGTTCTTCTTTTCTGTTCGAGGTGGATATGGTATCTGATACACGGTGAATACCATTGACGTGGGGTGCAAAAAGGTAGATTATAATATTTGTTTGTACGATACATGGTGACGATTTGTATGGATAGGTAGAGGACGTTAAATGTATTCAATCTCTAGATGTATTCATGATCTAAATATCCATTATCATGTACGCATGCACCCGTTATATAACCCAATCGTGATTTATATACCTCGTGCCAGGAGTCCTTCGGCTTCCTCGGTTTGCTCGCTCATCTCCGTCTCGTGGCCCTTCTCCAGACGCTGCGCCATGGCCACTGCCTCTCTTCGGCCCTTTTCGGCATTGACCATCCAGACGAGCGGGATTGGCATCAAGATCAAGGGCGCAATGAAGAAGAATCCCGACCGTACCTGTCCGGTCGCATCGATGAGCATTCCTACGATAGCCGGTCCAATGACCGAACTGCCCTTGTCCGTTGCAGCGTACAGGGCGTAGAACGCTGCTTCACTGCCAGGAGGAATGAGCAATCCGAAGAAGGACCTGCAGTAGGAAGCCAGGCCACCTGATACCACCCCGTGGACAACGGCGAGTGGGAAGATCTCCCACGGCTGCTGCAGACCGATCACGCCCCACTTCTTGAAGAGAGGAATATATGCCAGCATGCCGTACAAAGGAATAAGTTCAAATAGAGCAATGCATAGCATAATTGTATGGTTCGACTTCAGCCCGAACCGTCGCGAGACCACAGGCCAGAAAAAGGCACCAGCCATGCCGGACAGGGTTGCGGTGATGGACAACAAGCCGACGAGTGTAGTGCTCATCTTGAGCTCCGTGCGGGCGAACAGGATCGCCGTTCCGGATACTGTGGCCATAGCGTCGGATAGGAGAAACCACGCGGCTAGGAACACCAAAACCTCCCGTAGCTGCACCGCAATCTTAACCGTCTTCCACAAAGACTTCCAAGCAAATCCAACGAGTCGCAACCACACACGCCACCGTTTCACCTGCCCACCGGTATTCAGGGTATTCAGTGGGGGCCCTGGTCGAGCGCGCAGCCACTTTCGGGTGACCATCGTAAAGGAGAACCACCAGATGCCGACCAACAGCAGTACGAACCGCAGCGGAAGCGTACCGGAAACCTTCGAAATCGACGTCTTGGAAAGCGCAAAGAGGAGCGAAATACTCAATATTTGCACGAGAACGGCAGCACAGTACCCAAGCCCGACACCTTTGGATGAAATGCGTGTGGACAGCTGTAGCTCCGGCGAAGTGGGGCCTGATGATGCCCCAGAGCCCGCTTCTGCTGCTGGGTGAGGCCCCGACTCTGCATCGCTTGCCGAGAAGGAGTCTCTGGGGTGGATGTATTCTCCATCGGGACTCATGGGATGCAACTCCTCAGCAGCCTTGGAAGTCTTTTCGATGGACGAATCGTTTGCAACCAGGACAGGTAAGAAAGAGTTGAGCACCACAAAAGATGAACCTAAACAGGTAACTCCGATGACAACCAAGAGGGCCCCAAGGACGAATACCGGCGGCGCAATAAAGACGAACAACATACTCGTGGCGGACCCAATGAAACCGAATGCCAGAAGGAGTGTTTTACGGTTATTCTCTGAAGAGTAGCGATGTTGTCAGCAGTTTGGCTCGATAATTGTCAACACGGGGATAAGCCGTACCATAATCTGCTAAGGCGCTGAAGGATATCAAGGTCAATGCCTGGACAAGCACTGCCAACGAGAAGGTGTACATAGCGAAACTGGCGGTGTTGATGTTCAACCCCAATAGTCCTACGACACATTGATCGTTTTCGGCTCCATCGCGACGGAGCATAGCAGGGGCCGTGCCATTCGCAGATGTAGACGGTGAACCGGGACCGACGCAGGGTAGATGGCTAGATTTAAAGGATCCTCGTTCGCGTGCCAATTGTTCCAATGTGAGAGGCAGGAAAGAACCTATTGCGCCGATCTGATTAGCACCACTCGGACTAGAATGATAAGAAAAAATACTCTGGAGTAGTTTGCCTTACCTACGCCACAGACAGCGAATACCTCCGCTGCAATTCCATACGCGTACCATCCCCAGATCTCACGCTTGCTAGTCGGGGTTGTATCCTCGCCGGAGTACCGTGGAGGACGTTGTTGGAGCTCCTCCGCGGGGGAGTCCGGCAATGGAGGGGCGACGGTCATAAGGATATGGGAGAGTGGAGAGTGACTGGGGAATAGAATGAGTCTACCCGGTTATACCATTGCAGGAACCGACCGACAGCAAGGCGAGAAAGACATGAAGCTCCAAATGGCGTCCGAATGGAACTGCTGGCTTTGTTGTAAGCGATTATTCATCCGAACGCGGAACTCTCGGAATTGCCTCGTTCCCTGATTGGCCCACCCGCAGATTCACAGCTGTCGACCAATCAGACAATCACATACCCCTGTTCTCGTGGTTGCATTCTACTATGAATACTACCTGGTAGTACGCAGTAGGTATACTCCGCCAGACCGTAGTCGTAGTCATAGTGTTGAAAACCCATAAAGACCGATACCATGTCTCACCAGTGCTCTCCGAGTGATCCGTATACTTCAGAGTGCGACTGGGTCAGTTTCACTCCACTATCCACGAGCATCAAGGTCAAAGCGCCACTGACGTCATTTGACAGGTACGGATCCAGATACTAGTGAGATCTTGGCAATTGACTGTAAGGTAAACTAATCTCCTTTGCTGAGCTTGCCGAGCCTCTGATTGTCAAGTATCTGTTTAGTCACCAAAAGGGTACAAGAAGCAATACCCAGGTCAGAAACTTGATGGAACTACCGCGCCTCCGTCCTGTGTTGATACCGGGACAGAATCTCAACTGATTATTTGTTCTATTCATACTCAAGAGACACAAGCCGGGGAAGGCCCCTGTGGGGAGCAAGATAATAAATATATGAATATTATCTGAAATAAAGAGCACGGTGGACAACGGACAAAGGACAGTGAATTAGGCATGGATAAGTCTATTATTGAAACCCAATATGAATACAGTTTACGGTATCTCTATCCAAATAAACTTAGCCGATCACGAAAACGGCCATTCCAACCATCGCAATCGCAGACCAGACCGCGGCGTCGAGTGAGGAACCCATGCTAGAAGCAGTCGGGCTTGTGCCGGTCGTTGAAGTGGTATTCGGCAAAAGCACTGAGGGGCTATACGGTGGTGGAGTCCGATCATCAATCGTTCCATTCCAGCAGTAGCGCTGGAAACACCGACTACAAGCCTCAGGGACGGTAGTGCTAGTCCTATCAAACGAACGGCTGAGAATTGCACAACCGACGCAGGTTGTCCATTCGGAATCAAGGGTACCATTCGCCTGGGTGGCGACATTATAGCCATTCATAATGAATCCGTCACGGCGAGCAGAGCTGAAGTCCGTGTCCGTAAGGGTAGTCGTGGCATTATACGTGACAGGGTGGTTGGGCAAATAGACAACCAGCGGAGCGGGTGTGGTCAGGTTTGAGCTATTGCAGCCGAAGAATGTGGGGCGGGCATTGAGGTCCAGGTTTAGGATGGTATTTTGGTCTGGGATATATGGGAAGGAAGTGTTGGCTAGGTCGTCGAGGGTGCGCTCATACGTGCTGATGATGGCTGAGCCCGTCGGCCAAGACCCATCGGAACCGAGAGAATCAACACCGAATATCACGTCCACGTTGCGTTTTCGCTGTATCAGCGGGTTGAATGGAATATTCTGGCCGCCTTCACCACCATCCACAATAGTGAGTCGCTTTTCTTGCGCAAAGGGTGACGAGTCCGTATTGTACTGGTAGAAGGGGTTAGGCTCATAGGCCGCGGATCCAGTCAATGTCGAGTTGGTTGAGTTGGTGGCGCTAATAACTCCTGCAATAACAAGTTTGAGAAATTGTGCCTCCTCGGGAGACTGCTTCGAGATTTCAGAGAGCATCGACTTTAGGGTTCCAACTATATCAGCGGATTTTCCCTGGTTCCAGATGTCGCTCGATGAGCCCGTGATAAAGCCGGCATTATCGAAGCCACGTACGCAGGTCTCGTTCTCTGGGACTATACCATTGATAAATCGAGTACCCAGGTATTCTAATGGTACGAAGCCATAGATAGAGCTATCATATGTGCCGAACTCCCAAGGCGACACCTCATAAATCGGCTCTGAATTGGTCGGTGCCTCAAGGGCTTTGTCAAAAGACTGCCCCTTGACCACTACTACTGGCAGTGGCATTTCAGCATCTTGAAATGCTTGACTCTTTGCAATGGAGGACCAGGTGTAGTCAACACCACCATGACTGGCATTGAAAAAGAAGTAGCCTTGCACCCGACCCCTGAAAGATTGGTTAGTCTTATTTCGTATAAGGAGAGTTTGAGTGCTTACCAAACGTCTGGGTCACTAGTCACAAAGCCAGCTGCCCGTTTTGTCTTGACCTGGGTTGTAATATTACCCCAGAACTCTTGTGGATCCATGTTTGGTGGCCCCGCGAAGATATTCCCGCTAGAAAAGTTCCAGAGGTTTCCCTGCTCCTGCAATGCAGAAACCGTCGTGAAATTGTTGATATAGACTGAGCCAAGCATCCAAGAGCCGCCACTAAGAGCAGAAAAATAGGTGGTCGACTGCAGTAAGCCACCCAGCTGGCCCTTGGCCATTGTGCCTTCAGTGCGGCTGTCGAAGGCTTTGAAGGTACCAGCACCATTTAAAGCTGCTGTCAGCCCACCCCCTGATATGGCAAGGCCAATCGTGGGTGTGTTGGTTAAGTCATGAGCGTGACTCTCGAGATAGCTCACTGCATCAAACCCATCAATCTGGACATGCCCGAAAAAGTCTTTTAGAGCTGGTAGAGTTTTGCCACGTCGAGCCTCAAGCCAAGACGTCTCTTCGGATGAGAGCGTTGCGCCGTTTCGGAGACTGGGCCGTGTCTTCGGGCATGTAACATGGACTGGGGCATATCCGTTCAGAGCATTAGGTAGTGCGCGAGGGTTGACATTCGTAACCTGATGTTGACTTGGGATAAGAGGACTCGCCGTTATGCCTGCATTGAAGATGACATTAGTCCCTCGACTTTTGGAAAGAAATATACCAACTGATGGAAATATTTGCAGTTTCCAGCGTGTACATACCAGGAAAGAGGGAAACGGCAACTGTGCCAAGGAGAAAGGTGTTCTTCATTCTTATGGTCAAAGCTGCTGGACTGTGGAAGGAGTTTAGAAAGAACGAGCCTGATAATGTAGGCTATATCGGTCTGTCTTTCGGGGAATGGCTTTCTATTTAAGCCTTTGGTATGTGTCAAACAAATTTGCTACGTCAGGGGTCATCAGAAAATTGAGACAACCTTGCACACATTCTAAAAGCGTCTACAGATGTTTGCTCGAATCAACATGGGCTTAACAGCCATGGGGCTCTATAGTTGACATAGTCTCTAAAAGTCTAAGAGCGGAATGTGATTGGCGATAAGACACCTAGTGGGCAACCAAATTGGAGGTGATGGAATGCTTAATCGAATAGGTAGATACTCCGAAGGCTCAACTCTGGTCCAACGCTAGTTTAACTTACGCAATCCTCAAGGCTTAAACAGTTCTAAGGCCCAGAGTAAGCCCTAAGCACCGATCCGGTTACTGTATTAGGATAAGCGTGAAGATTTAGTGGAAGACATAACTAGAAGTGATTATCAGCCCCCACGCACCAAGTAAACACTACCCTGTCCTCCTGTGGATCTCAGTGCGATTATCTTCCTCTCCACATTCCAGCAGCTGAGCTGGGGCTGAAATGAGACTGGGAAATGTACTGCTACTAATCTCCTTTTCGTAGGAAGCTCCGACCCCGACAATATCACAATGCCGGCCCCCACAGATCACTTCACTGATCCAACGCATCTTTAAGCGAGAAGATCCCACCCTGGACCTTGTCATTCCGAACTGCTTACCCCTTTAGGTTACTACCATGGTATACAGAGGAAAGCCCAGCCCAGGGTGTGCCCTATGCCGGAAGCGGCGGCTAAAAGTACGTGGACGCTCCTCCACGCTGAACCATAACTGATTGACCAATGATAGTGTGACCAGAGGCAGCCTTCATGCTCCCAATGTTTGCGGATAAAGAAAGAATGCCCCGGGTACCAAGATCCCCGAGCCCTGCGTATCTATGATCAGACGACAGTCGTTACTGCCAAAGCCCTGGCCCGGGCTGCCGTTACCCGAAAGGCGGCTCAGTCCCCAACTGCTGAGAGTTCGAAGACACCGCCGTTAAGTTATTTATCTACCCCTATCCAGGAGCAGGCTATGTCTCATATCTTCAAGTTTTATGTTGGCACAAGCCAGAATCGGGGCGTACTACCCTATTTGTCGGATCTGTTGAACGCTGATCCCTCTGGTGCACTTCAAGCCACAGTCAAAGCTGTAGGGCTGGCATGTATGTCAGGAATTCACCATTTACCTGGGCTGAGGCGATTGGCGGCAGAGGAATACAGCAAAGCCTTGCAGGCGACCAATTTGAATCTGCAGGACGCAGCCTCGGCTACGTCCGACTCCACTTTGGGGTCTGTGGTAACACTGAGCTTGTACGAGGTAATGTGTCTACGTAGAATGTTGGTTTGGTAGCGGCTTTTTAATCATCGGGAAAACAGATTATCTCAGGGCATGAATCACAAATGATGAACGCTTGGCTCAATCATGCCCGGGGAGCGATAAAGCTCCTTGAGTTACGAGGCGTGAAGCAATTCGAATCGCCAACTGGGTTAGGGCTGTTTAACAGCGCACGATTACAAATTGTTAGCTATTCCTCGTTTTGACTGCTAATATCTGGGTTTTAACATGTCAATTTCAGGCTATGATGAACATATTCTTCAGGACGACGTGTTATAGCTCATCAACAATAACTGCATTATCAAATCATGCAAGAACCCTCTATGATACTAATTCTCAAGCGATTGATGATTTTTACAATATTCTAATTATGTTCAATGATCTCTCGATACGGATAAAGGAAGCATACAAAAATGATGGCTTTCGTGGAAACATCGCACCGTTAATTGCGCAAGCTCTCCGCCTCGATGCTGATATGGTATCATGGGCGAGTTCTCTGGGTCTATCCTGGCAGTTTACAGAGGCCAGTAACTCACCGTCTTTTTCTAACGGCGGCATACCCGTCTGCAGCTATGATAAGGTATATCATGTATACCCGAGTATCAACGTCGCAGTGCTTTGGAACCACTATCGCCAAGCACGGATCGTTCTTCATGAGATGATCCGAACTATGTGTCTCAGGGCGTCTGAGCGACAGGCAATGCCTCAGTCCCAACAAATAATGCTCAATTCTAGCGCCATTAATAATCAATTAGTGAAGGACGTCTGCGATAGCGTCCCTCACTTCTTTACATCGGGTGAAGCTGGTTTTGGGGGTGTCGCTCGATTGCCATGGCCACTGTTCGTTGCTGCTGACTGTACGGATATATCGTCTCACACGAAGAACTGGATTGCGCAAATACTCGATATTATTGCAACCTCCGCGGGTGTGCAGCAAGCGCGCATCTTGTCACATCTTATCAAACAGGGACATCACGGCTTCAATTTGATTCCTGGGAAATGTAAACAATAAATTGAAACATAGAAAGCGGCAAAAAACATAATAAAACATGCCCTTGCAATCTCAAAATCTCATATGATGTGTCATTTGAAACGAAGTAACTTGATTTTCATTGTACAATAACTACAAGATCTCCCTATGTATTCCAAGATCTCAACCCTCAAATCCCTCTTTCTCATTGAATGCGCCATTATTCTGAGACCCGAGAAACTTCATCCATAGTCAAAGTACATAAGTAAAGATTAAGAGCAACATAGCTAAAATAAACACTAATGGGTATAATTTAATATTAAAAAGGATATATATACGTATAGCCTATACAATAAGAAGACTAATGTATAGTAGAGAATTGTTGTAGAGATACAATAATATTATAGATATAGGCTTCCCGTTCTAGGTAGAGGATTTCCATACCCATGGCACTTAACACCCTAAATGAAACCTTCCATCGTGCAACCAGTAAGGTCTCAGTATCAGGTCACCGCGCGAAAGTCTGCAGACAACATCCATTGATGGGAATAGACCGGGCGAGAACCCTGTCAAGTGACAATAAACCCAACCTTTGACTTCCGGCTCGTATTATGTCGGTGGCAAGAGTCTTGCGTCATGTCGCGTCGCCGAAACACTCTTAAATAAACGTGCTCTCCCTATTTCTCTAAAGCTTCACATATACCCTACGTGTACTTGTGAGACATGTAACAGCAGATACAAGACCTCAAACATGGCAGTAACTATCCCGGGTGGACGAACGCCCATGCGGTAAGTGAACAGCTACAAAACTCATGAGAAGCTGAAAGTGGTGATATGCTTTGTCTTGGAAGATACTCATTTGTGTCTGCACTGATTAGGCCCCAAAACCCAGCCGCCTTTAGCGTTGTGGCCGGAGCAGCTGCGGCATGGATGGCCTTTAGATGGTACTCGCCCTCGAAACCGGAGCCAAAATCACTCCCCTTTCCTTATGAAGATGCCGAGGACGTTGTACAGTCCAAGCCAAAGAAGAAAGGCCCAACCAGAATTCCTTAAAGGATGGAAAGTGGTTGATTGTTAAACTCGGAATCTAGTCTTCAGTGTGTTTGGTCTGCATTGTCTACGCAGATATATCGTGCGAATCTGTGTTTTTCTCATATATGACTCTGAAAATGCAATTTCGTTCTTTTCATTACTTAATAATTACCCATAACCTATACTAGACCGTCATTCTGAATCTGAATCTGACAACGTGACTGGATATAACTCCCTGCGAAGTAACACTGATGCTTATAAAAGATCTATAATAGGTAAATTACCGCTATCACCGAAGCAGTTAGGTGGCTATCTATCTAGTTAAATAATAAGCTGACCTATATTTAATATTCAGACCATATAAGTCTCTAGCTCGAGGAATCAGTTCTTATTATACCATTACATCGATCTTCTGGAAGTACTAAAATTTTAAAAGTGGTTCATGAATCATGCTAGGAAAAGAAAACACCATAGAACCTTTGAGCCGAGTGCCAAGAAAATAAAATAGTACCTAGTTAGCCGCCTACCTACACCATCGTCCGAACCCAGTACAAGTCAGCCTCTTCTTTAACATCACCTTATTCGTCCGTCACGAAAAAATGTAACCCAGAGGCGCGAGCAATGTATCCTTACATCCGCCACGCTTTTCGTCCATTTTTGCGGCAATTGAGCCGTCCCCGTAAACCTCTATACCCTCGACGCGTTCGTGTTGTCGCTGGGTCTGTACCAATTCTCCCCTCTTGCGGATCACAACTGTTCGCTCACAAAATGACTACCGCAAGCCAGCGGAAGCTTTCCCCCCCAAGCGGAACACGAAGACTTTTATCGATACACAAGTGGGCGCTGGCTGTGGGATGAGGAGCAGCAGTTGAATGATAGGTACAAACCCTTTGATCCTGTCGCCCTACAGAATATAGCAGCTGAGAGCGCGGGTTCAAACAACTGCGTGTCAATGCGAAAGTTAGCAGAAGGAGGGTATAACAAGGTGTTTCGTCTTATTATGGATGATAGAAAAATAGTCATAGCACGTATTCCCAATCCGAATGCTAGCCCTCCGTTTTACACCACTGCATCGGAAGTTGCGATGATGGAATTTGTGAGAGCGCCTTCCTACTGCTGGTTAAGAAATTTCATTGAAACCGGGCTTTCACACTAGGTTCGAACAATACTTGATATACCTGTTCCTAAGCTCTACAGCTGGAGCACTAGCAACGAAAACAATGTCGGGACAGAATATATCCTCATGGAGGAAGCTGCGGGGCAGCCACTTGAGAAAGTTTGGGATCGTATTTCTCCTGATTTAAAACTCGATACTATGAAGGAACTTGTTTTAATAGAGGCCAAGCTTTTGTCCTTGTCGTTTTCACAGTAAGTATCTGTGGCCGCCGGTACACGCTGTTGCTTATATGTTTGCCAGCTATGGAAATATTTACTTCGCGAGTGATGCAGTTGAGGGTGCTGTCCCGGCGGAAATCATAAGCGATGTACCACCGAAATTAAAAGCAAAAGCCTTGAAAACATTCACTATTGGGCCTTCAGTAGAGAGGGACTTCTGGAAAAAAGAACGATCAGAAATGCAACTTGACCGGGGCCCCTGTTCGTATTCCATTCTCATTATAATGAAAGAACTATCGCATAACTAACAATCAGTATTTAGGGTTAACCGCGCTAGAATATGCGACGTCTGTAGGCCGTCGCGAAATTTCATGGATTAAGAAATACGCTATTCCAAAAGCCTCTGATGACCCTCTTCTAGTTTCTGCGGCCCAAAATGATCCAGGGGCTCACATACAGCTCCTAGAAAAATATCTCACTGTTGCCCCTTGTCTTTTGAAAATCGATAGGCAGTTAACTCGCTCTATTCTGTGGCATACGGATCTCCATTCCTCAAATCTGTTTGTTGACAATGGACATATTACCGCTGTCATTGACTGGCAGGGATCATGGGCCGGTCCAATTCTTCTTCAGGCCAAGGCATCGCCACTGGTTGATTATCAGGGACCCATGTTATTCAAACGCCCTGATAATTTCGACACACTTGACGATGAACATAAGGCACAAGTAAAGCAGCAAATCTCAAAGTCAAGCCTATTCCAACTTTATTTACTGGAGACTGAAGAGAACAACCCGGGGCTAGCTAGGAGAAGCGGACGATCAGCAACATAGCGCTTGGCAAAATGACCACAGCGCTTACATTCACCCACTGCTACGCAGCATTATTATTGATTTGTCACACAATCTAGGATTTAGGTTGACTTGAAATTCGCAGTCAGGCTTTTAGTATCCTTGCACCTGGTGTACTCAGAATGCACTGAACACCAACATTGTTTATCTCGTGAGGCTCAGGTTGGATGACAGAATCGGCGTTTTTCTTGACTCAAAACAAGCTACACTATGATGCGAAGAACATACCAATATTAGCGCCATAACAAGACCAATACTTGGGGATTGGTAGGAACCAATGGCTACGATGGCTGACGTGGTGTCGTGGTTTGGGGACATATCAGCCTTGCCGCCAGTCGGGCACCACAATCACAGCCAAGAACGAGCAGGGGTAGTTCCAGGCTGTTGCAATGGCGTTGCAATTTGAATCGCCACTAATGCTACCACCTTCAATAATAGTAGTATCACATGGACTGCGCAGCGTGGCGCTAATATAGGCTGTCAGCCTCGTCGCTTCTAGCTGTGCTCCACCACGGCGCTTACGATGGTTGCTGGTGGAAATATATCTTGTTCTCGCTGGGGATGGTCTTCTCCATGGGTTAGACAACCAGAAGATAAGCAATGGAGCATAAGCTAAGCACAGGTGAGCACAATGCTCTCGATAAAACAGGATTATGTCTACTATCGCTGGATGGTGGTGGTGTGCGAGGGCTTTCAACCCTCTATATCTTGAAGCATCTCATGGCTCGATTGAGCCATGAACGACCGGAACTCGGTCAAGTCAAGCCTTGCGAGATATTCGATCTCATCGGTGGCACGAGTACTGGAGGCCTTATTGCGATCATGCTTGGCCGCCTGAAAATGAGCGTTGACGAGTGTATCGATACGTACGTGAAGTTGATCAAAACGGTTTTCGAGAAAAAGTCCCGATGGCCCATAAATTTCTCCGGCGACATCAGGTCGCGATTTGACGCAGCGAAGCTAGAAAGTGCTATCAAAGACGTTGTGACCAGCCATGGAGCAAAGGAGACCGATCTTTTCAATGACGGATGCGACCGCGGCTGTCGTGTGTGAGTATATGACCCCATCGATAATGTGGGTTAATTCTTATGTGACTAGTTTTGTTTGTACTACATCGCACGAGACAAAAGATGTTGTACGTCTTCGAGACTACAGTTTGCCGTCTAAGGATAACATTCCTGCCACCATCTGCCAGGCTGCACTTGCCACGTCAGCTGCTACAACATTTTTCGATCCTGTCTACATCGGAACACGAAAGTTTGTAGATGGTGCTCTAGGCTCAAACAACCCTGTGAACGAAGTGGAAGGAGAAGCGGCAGACATATGGTGTTCTGGTACTGGTGATTTAAAGCCGCTCGTGAAATGCTTCGTCTCCATTGGGACAGGGGATCCCGGGATAGCTGGTATTGAGGATAAGGCAGTCAAGTTTCTTTCTAAAACATTGGTCAGTATGGCGACCGAGACTAGGATAACAGAACAGAAGTTCATAGCAAGATGGGCCAAACACTACGACGAGAAGCGGTACTTCCGTTTCAATGTTGAGCAGGGATTGCAGGGAATTGGTCTCGAAGAATACCGGAAGCAGGGAACGATAGAAGCAGCAACGCATCGATATCTGGATCACCAGACTCAGGTGTTCCGGGTGCGAGATTGCATCCAGAACTTGAAGCTCAAACGGGGTAGGTATATTGAAATCTTTGCATAGGATACAATGAACGCATAGCTAATCCGGACTAGGTATGGCGATGTCCAACATCTCAAGGATCCTCGGCGTACGTATACACAATGAACTTAAAGATCTAACATAATATTCACATGGTACAGGGAAACCATATTCCACCTTCAACACAGCTCCATATACGTACGACTCTTGTGTGCCGTTAATGTGCAAATGCTAATTTTCGTACAGCGTCAAGAACCAGAGCACCCTGGATTGTCCCTTTCCGGCGGAATCCGCTTTTTGTCAGTCGCTCAGCGGAAATCGCTATGGTTGATGATATTCTTGGCAGTGACAGTGCATTTTCCCAGGCTGCGATTGTTGGGCTTGGTGGCGTTGGGAAAACGCAAATTGCGCTTGAATACGCGCATATCCTGCGAGAGAGACATCCGGACTGCGCAATATTTTGGATACCAGTCACTAACATGGAGAGCATGCTGGAGGCATATTTGCAAATTGCAAAAGAGCTGCAAATCTCCAATGTCGGAAACGATATTGAAGGCATTCAGAGTATAGTCCAACATCGACTGAGTCAAGAAAGCTCCGGTAAATGGCTACTGGTGTTAGACAATGCTGATGACATCTCCTTTTGGGCTGATAAAACCAAAGATACGGCTGGTTCTATCCTGCCAAAGAGCAGGCATGGGTCTATCCTTTTCACAACCAGAAGCCACAAAACAGCAGCTGGGTTAGTAGGGAGAAATATAGTCACGGTCAAAGCGATGAATAACGAACTAGCCAAGAACCTGCTCGGAAATGTTTTGATCGACCGAAGCCTGTTAGCTGATGATCAAGCTAGCGCTGAATTGCTTCAGAAGCTTACGTGCCTGCCGCTCGCAATTGTTCAGGCAGCCGCATTCATCAACGAGAATCAAATGACGCTATCTGAGTATATATCGCTCCATGATAGTACTGAAGAGAGTATGATTGGCATGCTTAGTCAAGATTTCGAAGACGAAGGTAGATACGAGGACGGGAAGAACCCTATTGCGGCAACGTGGCTCATATCCTTTGAGCAAATTCAGGCTTCTGACACTTTAGCAGCGGAGTACTTGTCACTTATGGCCTGCGTTGACTCAAAGAACATTCCGCGGATATATCTTCCCCTCACACAGCTTGCAGCAGAGTCTGCTGCTGCTATTGGGACGCTGAAGGCTTTTTCGTTCATTGCAAGTCATGAAAATAATCAGCTTTTGGATATACATCGCCTTGTACACCTGGCGACGCGTAACTGGCTGCGCATGCAGGGCACTCTCACAGAATGGACTAACAAAGCTCTGAGTCACATGAATGCGCTTTTCCCATTCCCCAGACATGAAAACCGACACATGTGGAGACCATTACTGCCACATGCTCGGTATATTTTAGAGTCACTATCATGGAATACTCCAACAAGTGCAGCGATACATCTATTGCGCATCTTTGGATATGGTGCTCTAAGTGATGGGAGATACGAAGAAGCTCGAAGGGCTTTCAACACGGTTACAGATTTCAACAAATGCAGCCTTGGCATCGAACATCCTGTGACATTATCTACTCAGGCAGCTTTGGCAGATGTATGTTTCAGACAAGGGGAGTGGAGCAAAGCTGAGGAGTTGAGCATACAAACACTAGGCAGCCTGAAGAAGGTTGTTGGTATCGAAAGTACGGTGACATTGGCAACCATGAGTGTACTTGTATCGATATACTGCGTTCAAGAGCGATGGGCGAAGGCAGAAGCACTAGAACAAGAGACCTTGAAAGCGTACGAGAGAGTTTTTGGTGCAGAGCATCCGGAAACCCTGCTGAATAAGAGCTCTCTAGCAAGGATATACAGGGGAAAAGGAAATTGGAATAGAGCCAGGAAACTCGACCTGCAGATATTGAAATGTCACAGGACAGCGCTTGGCATGGATCATCCTTCAACACTCAGCAGCACTCGCATCCTCGCAGATGACTACGTATACTTAGGGCTTCTAAGGAAGGCAGAAGCGCTGCAGACGCAAGCAACAGAGACTTCCAAGCGAGTTCTTGGACCAGAACATCCGGATACAATTTTTGCCACCGGTACTCTAGCCTCTATATATAGCGACAGAGGCCGCCTTGAAGATGCTGAGAAGTTGCAGATATGGGTCTTGAAGAGTAGTCGAGAGGTTCTTGGTGCTGAACACCCTTATACTATATGGGATATGGCCTATCTGGCTGATACGTGGAGGAGAATGGGTCGATATACTGAGGCGACGGATATGCTGGAGAAGTGCATGCAGTTGGAAATGAAAGTTCTAGGCGCTTACTACTCCGATACATTAAAACTGAGTCGTAAATTGCGCCGAGGCCAAATGCACCAGCAGTTGATTGGTGGGTGCACTCCAAGCTAGACGATGAGCAATATGCATTGAAGGCTGTCTTTCATAATTTGTTCTATTCAGCTCAACTCTGTCTGTCCATTGCGGCATGTACTACGATCCTTCTATATATTTTACTCTGTCCGTTGATACTCCCGACGGTATTATCCTGCTCTAGCCTTGGCGGAGCAAAAAGATGATTAGGGCTTTTGATCCGTCGTGATAATCAATACCCGATCGGGTCTCCGCTATTATAGCCGAAGGGGGAGTGGATCCATAACGCGATCAAAGATCAATCAGATGTGATATTTATAGACTAATGAATCGGTCCACGAAGATGGCTTCAACTATTTTCCTTCCCTTATCACTTCCCCGCAATTTCTTCTCCTTTGTATCTCTGCCACGTAGAAAAGAATTAACCACCATACACTCGGACCGGGCTAAGGACCTATATAAATCTGTCATGCACTCAACCACCCGTCAATATGACTCGCTCGATGGGGCATCGAGAACGGAATCCGACGTTGAGCCCGCCCTCCCACATGAGGAACAACCTCTCCTATCTTCAGAGGAAATCTGGAAACCACCAAAGGGCTTCCTCTGGATCCAGATCGGTATGGATCACTGCGAGCCGAAAGCACCAGGTCGCTAATGATTTTCCCAGCGATTATGTCCAACGTTTTCCTCTCTGGCTTCGACGGCACTATCACCGCGTCAACCTATGCCGTCATTAGTTCGGAATTTAACGCTGCCAACACCGCCTCATGGCTTACCACGTCGTACCTAATCACTAGTACTGCTTTTCAACCTCTTTATGGTCGCTTTTCCGATATCTTTGGACGGCGTACCTCCTTCTTTACGGCAACCATCACCTTCATGGTCGGTTGTATTGGCTGCGGCATTGCCAAGGATATCGTACTTCTCAATTTGATGAGAGCATTGACTGGAATCGGTGGGGGTGGTCTGATGACTATGGGTATGGTGGACTCGCTTATTCGTTAAACAACATTGAACACTAATATCGTTCAGCCACCATTGTCAATTCAGATCTGATCCCCTTCCGTCGTCGCGGCATGTACCAGGCCCTCCAAAATGTTATGCACGGTTTCGGTTCTATCTGTGGCGCATCCCTTGGAGGCTCAATTGTTGACACTATCGGGTGGCGATGGTGCTTTCTTATGCAGGCTCCCGTTGGACTGCTCGCACTAATCACAGGTCATCTGGTAATTCATCTTCCCAGGAAAGCCGATCTTATCGAACCGGGTCAGGGCTTCAGAGCCATCTGGCGACGAATCGATCTCTCTGGTGCATGCGTTCTTATTCTAGGCCTCTCCAGTCAGTTGGTTGGATTAAGCTTGGGCGGAAACGATTTGCCCTGGTCTAACCTATGGGTGATTCTTTCACTCGTTGCAAGTGTGATCCTTTTAGGTGCTTTCGTGGTTATTGAAACAAAGACGTCCGCGATCCCGCTGATTCCTCCGAGAATGCTGCAAGGTCTCCTACCTATTGCTACCCAAGTCGCTAATGTCTGTGTCGGAATGGCGGCATATGCAGTATGTAGTGTTGCGCCGCTCTCGCAATTTGAGCTAACACTAGTAGTTCCTCTTTACGCTCCCATTGCTATTCCAAGTCATTCTCTTGGATTCTGCCGCGAAGGCTGGTGCGAGACTGGCGATCCCGTCGCTCGCGACCCCAGTGGGTGGCGTTATCTCCGGCATTGTCATGTCCCGCTGGGGAAAGCTCGCCCAACTTGTACGTGCGGGCGCTTTGCTGATGTGCATCGGAAACGTGTTGGTGATGTCACTGCAATTCAACGACGCTGGCTGGAAGTACTTCACGTACGTAATTCCAGCAAGCCTGGGGCAGGGTATCGTGTACCCTGGGATTCTGTTCACGTTCCTTGCCGCATTCGACCATTCCGGTACGCACAATACAATGTAGTATGTCTAGGAAGATTGTTACGCTAACAATTCACAGACCACGCTGTGTCGGCATCCACGGTGTACCTGGTGCGCTCGCTCGGCACCGTTTGGGGCGTGGCGATCACATCCACGATTATACAAAATACATTGCGCTCAGGCCTCGCTGAGGCCTTGAGTGGAGTACCAGACAAATGGAAAGTAACATCCCTTTCTTTGCGAGTAGCACCTAGTTGAGCGATAACTGATCACTTCTGGCACAATTCTAGATTATTGATGATATTCGACACTCGGTGTCGGCTATACATGATCTACCTCCCGACATTCAAATGGCCGCCAGACTAGTATATTACCGGGGCATCCGACTGTCCTTTATGGCTTCGGCTTGCTTTGGGTTTGTCGCTACTATCGCAGCACTTTTCACTAAGGGTAAAGGGCTACACCGTGCGACTAGTGTGTAAGCCGATCTCAGAGGGCCAGTTATATAGGGCTAGCCACCCTAGAATCTTGAGCTCAATATAGGAGGTGGAAATCGGAAAGGTAGGCTCGAAAGAAGTAGAGAGACGGAGCGGGATTTGTGAGAATGGGCAGGAACACGATATCGGAATTAGTTCCATACCGGAGACATATTAGGCGTGAAGGGCAGCCTTATCAACAGAAAGCCTACCAGCAATAGAACCAGAGGTGCAATGAACTTTATGGCAAATTAGCTTTATCAGAACTTCCTGCCAGTCATTGGTGATTGCAACTGTACTTTGTTGATAGCAACATTACCTTGGGTATATTCAACGTCGCATCTATTCCGCAATGCGGATAAATCCCACTCTCAGGTAGCTGAACAGCCTGGAGGTCCAATGGACAAACCTGAAGTATATACTAATGAACCTTATCCGGGGTTTGGAAATGCGGGGAAGCATCAAGTAGGGCAAGATATCCTGGCTACGCTACTCAGTTGCAGAGCTTCTTAAACATCGGTCGGCTATCAATTCCGCCGTCATTCCGCTATAGTCATGCATTTAGGGGGACCCGAAAACACTTCTGCCTGTCAAAGTGCAAGATAATGTAGTGTTGATATACCGGGCTCGGAATTCGATAAGCGTTCCGACTATCGCTCACTATCTTGATAGGGTATGATATCGTTACTAACGCATGGCCAGAAACCCTAAAGTCGACTCCATCAATCGTCTGCCCCATTGGCCTAGCGTAGACAATATGGGAGAAATGTAATGACATATAACTGCACTTTAAAACGACTTTCGTACTTGATCATCTCACTTCACAGAACAGTATGAGTAAACAAGATCTCAAACCCAACCATGACCTCTCCACTCCCTCTATCGAACTTTCCAACGGCCAAGTCGCCGTAACAGGCCTTCCCAATGCGCCGATGAAACAGAACTTTAGCATACTCAGCATCATCGCGGTAGGTTACAATATCTCCAACAGCTGGGTTGCCATCGCGGCCAGTTTCGCCATCGCCATCCAGTCCGGCGGGGCTGTGACCTTGCTCTATGGGATCATTCTCGTTTCCGCCGTTATGCTCTGTACAGGCTGACACTTGCTGAACTTGCAAGTGTCTACCCACTGCAGGTGGGCAATATCATTTCACCTCGATCTTGGCTACAAGTCGTTGGAGTCGCAGTTTATCATATTCCAGTGGGCTGGCAGCCGTATTCTCATGGATTACGCTGAGTGCATCTATTGCATTATCGTCGGCTAATGTGCTCATGGCCATCATAATCCGGTGGCGGCCGGAATATCAACCTGAAACATGGCACTATTTCCTTGTGTATCAAGCGATGAATATTGTTATGGTTTTTTATAACATATTCCTCACAAACAAGACGCTGTGGGTCTATAATCTTGGTTGTAGGTGCTCAATGTCTATCTTCTCACACGACCTACTGAATGAAGAAGGCTAACGGAAGTAGTCCTCCTTTCAATATCCACTTTTCTCGCCATAACAGTTACCTGCCCCGCTCGCTCCTCCGTCCAAATAGACTCAGCACACGTCTGGACACAATTTGCTAATGGATCCGGCGGCTGGCCAGATGGTATCTCCTTCTTGACGGGTCTTTCCACTCCTCAATTCATGCTTTCTGGTCTCGACGCCACGCTCCATCTCGCTGAAGAATGTCTTCAACCGGAACGCATTGTTCCCAAAGCAGTTATTGTAACTGTAATCGTGGGGTTCTTGACCGCATTTCCCTTCTCTGTCGCCATAATCTACAGTTACAAGGATGTGGAGCTCTCCCTCACAACTCCAACTGGGTGCGTCAGCCTCAAACTCTCTCCAAGTCCACCAAAATGTAGGACCGGTCTAACGTGAGCCAACAAAAACCAGGTTTCCTATCTACTTTATTTGGGAAAAGGCCACACATTCCCCAGCAGCCGCGACAATCTTCATGGCCTGCATGCTCACTATATCCTGTGTAGCCCTAAACGCAGTACACCAAACCTCATCCCGACTAACATGGTCTTTTGCCCGAGACGAAGCGCTTTTCTACTCGCATAAGTTAGCCTCTGTTAGCCGTACACTCGGGGTACCTGTATACGCGATCCTTCTTGATGGATTATGCGTTCTGCTACTGGGAGTTGTTTATGTTGCATCTTCCAACGGTAAGACAACTCTACCCTTGTCACACCCGTGCATATGTTATACTGTGCCTTGCGTGTTAATATATCATTCAATAGCATTCAACGCCTTCATAAGCACTACAGTTGTCGTCGCGCAAATATCCTACGCCATCCCCTCCGCGCTTCTTCTGTACCGTCGTCGCTCGGCGGATTACCTCCCTCCATCGAGGCCATTCAAACTAATGAATGCAATTGGTTACATTGTCAACATCGCAACGATTGTGTGGGCTGTTGTGTTGACTATCTTTTTCTCGTTTCCAACTGTCTTACCAGCTACAGGCGGGAATATGAGTACGTTGTGTTCCCTTGAGATACCTTTTCTGCTTTTGACGGGCAATACATACTAACTGGTACTTCAGACTACACTTCCGTGGTACTTGTTGCAATGCTAGTTCTTGGGGTCGCAAACTGGTTTGCATATGCACGGAGGCATTATCATGGGCCGAGATTAGAACTGTGAGACTTTTACTTTTCTAATTATTCTCTATGTGCTCGTCTTCCTTTTATCTCCCCATGACACTGGTTAGTCCCAGTCTATTACTACAATACCCCGCATAGATAAAGCTACTAGCCACAATTCAGGCAGTATCGTTATGATGTAGACCCCTTCCATTGATCACATTGCTTCGGTTCCGTAAGCTCATTGGTGTATACTTGCTACCTCTGGGTGCATTTGCTTTGTAGTCGTTTTACCGCATTGCTACTGTGCTAATTTAGGGAATAGAAGTCTGTAACGTAACCAAGTATACATGGCATGGCTTCCAAGCCACGTGAATGACGCCGCTTTATTGATCACTGTTTCTACCTCGGGCAGATCAGTCGTTCGTAGCGACTTAATCATGAGCTTCTTTCCATAGCCTCTTACATGAGCGTGTTTGACTTTTCTACTAAATATATCCCCAGGCAACCCCATACTCAATTTAGAAGCCCTTCTTTATACAGTCTGGAACCTACGTAGGGCAATGTGCAAGAAGTTCTAGAACTCGTCAAGAATTCTGCAAGAGTGCTGCGCCTTCTGGCAGATGTCATTGAAACCGGTTCTGGCATCGACTAGCCACTCTTTAATTAAAAGTGACACGATGGCTGTGGCTTGTCTGCTTTGGAGTCTCCGAGGTCCTATCAGGGGTCTGCAGAAGTGGAAATGAAGGTGGCGCATGCAGGCCAATGGGAAGGATGTTGGGTATTCATTTAACCAATGGGAGTGTGTAACCAGTGGGGGTAGAGAAGTGACTTGGGTCCGTACCAGTCGGTGACTCTCTCTCGGCGGATCCCTGTAGGGCTGTGGCTGTGGTAAGGGGGCTGTGTAATAGCTACTAGTATAGACTATGCTGTACTACTAGTAACTCAGCTCATTATGGAGAATTATATTGTCTGACGGGTTTGTGCTACGGACTCTCTCAATTACCGAGGATTATTATTGTTGACTCGGAAATACTACCTAGGTAGGTAGGTAGCAACCAGCAACTAACAAAGGGGGCCAGTCAGTGATAACAAAGTTTGCACGGCCAGGATTCGCACCAGCCCCAATGCGGAATGCCGGGAAAACAGCCCGTGATAATGGTTTGAGGACAAGGCTATCAGGGTGGAATTATCGAATTCTTCTTAGTGGGTATACTAGAATTGCTTAGTGCTAAGAATATTTCTTGGGTGAGAATTGCAAAGAAATTCTGGAAATTCGAATTTGGATTGGATTCCATCTTTAAGAGTGCAATCTGAGCCCACCGGACGATCGGCTTCTCCTCTTTTTCAAGCCCATTCCCTATTTTGAATTTCTCCGCTTCGGACTTGTCCTCTGCTTTTCTCCCCCGTTGGTTATTAATTCCACTTTTTTACTCTCTCTTCCCTTCCCCCCCCCCTTCAAGTTCTTGTCTCTTGTTCGACCCGTTCGTACTTGGCATTTCTTAGGTACCCTCTACCCCCTTTCATTGGCCCTTACCGTGCCCACGAGAGCCTCTTTTCCCCATCATCTTAATTTTCTTCTTCAACCGATTCCATCATTTGAAGCTTGGTTTGATCAGTCCATACTGACCGGTGCGACAATCGTTCTGCCCACAGATATCTATCATCATGAGTTACCAACAACAGCCCCCCTATCCTCCCCAGCCTGCGTAAGTACTCCAATGCTACCCCGTTTTTCTTATCCGTTTTTGCGACCGGCTTTGCGATGTCTGCCCAGGTAGTGTCGGAGGCTACAGTGTCGCAGTTGGCCAAGGCGCGGTTTTGAGGGTCTTGTCCGATGTCATCCGTTGGTTGTCCCTTGAAGTGGGCGGACCAGGCGGAGGAGACTCGACACTTGTCCCTTCAAAGTCCTTTACAATTCATTCTGACTCCCGTCCTCTGTGCAGCTACGGACCTCCTCCCGGTAACTACGGTCCTCCTCAGGGTGGCTACCCTCCCCAGCAGCCGTACGGTGGTTACCCTCCTCAGGGTCCTCCTCCTGGACAATACGCACCTCAACCCCCCGTAAGCTACGACTCCGGACCGTCTCTCAGGGCGACTGGCTAACGATCGTACAACAGATGGGATACCAGCAGCCACCACAAGCGCAGCAGCAGAGTGAAAGTAAAAATCGCGGCTGCCTTACAGCTTGGTGAGTTCTGAATTGGACATTTATATGTGCACAGTGCTGACCCTCATGTCTCTTCTAGCTTGGCCACCCTTTGTTGTTGTTTCCTGTGCGAAGAGAGCTGCGAATGCTGTATGGAATGTATCGAATGTTGCGAAATGTGCTAAAGCTTCACGACCCGTATATGACCTCGATGATACGATAATACCTACCCATCGCGTGCAGGACAGCCGGTTGGGGTGAGGGCGCCGGGAGGCGCTGAAACTTCCGCGATTCGGCGTACAGCCCTTTTCGCGTATTTCGCTTTCCTTTGACCTGTCAATCTGTCCTCCAAACGTCGTGGACCGTACCGATTTTTATCAATCATGTTTACTTGGGAATAATGGCTTCCGAGACAAGGGGGTGCTGAATTGGGGAAGATATCTGCTTTAGCTGGATGGCGCTTTCAGTTCGATAACCTTTTCATTTCTCGCGGATCGTTTTTTGTTTCCTTCTTGCGTCGGTGTTTCTTCGAAGGGAGCATTGTTTTACGATCGATTGTCTCCGTGGATCGTGGAGTGCAACTTCATCTGCAGTACGGAGATAGTCTTCAATTGGACCTTTATTTCTTCTTTTTACTATATCTTCTCATCAGAAATCTGGCGCCCACCAGCTTTGGAGGATGGCCGTAGACGACACTATGCAAAGGGTCAAAATGTTATGAAATATGAAGACCAGAGGCACCGAGAGATTCAAAATTAGGGATGTCAGGGGCATCCGATTGCCCACTCGCACATCAACCTCAGCCTCTCATCTTGCCGTTGAGTTAGTACAGTCTCACCTTCGTCTATCATGATAGCGAACTGGTAATGGGTTTTCACGAGCCATTCGATCAATTATTAGGAGCGACACCTGTGTATGCCGGTGAGCGAACGTTTCCTCGATTATAGGTAGAGGACCTTGGGATGCAAAAGGCGGACATGATCTTCTTCACGAGGCAAGCTCGATCCCAATACCCGTGGTTGTTAGGGGAGTCAATCTCTGAGATTGGTCGCAACTGGAAGGATATCGCGCATGGGTTCTCCAAGGCGAGGTGAATGTGATTATCAGCAACACATCATAGGACTGACCTTGCCAATGTCCTCAGGCACACTTAAACTCGATGACAAAATCAACCACCGCCCCGTCTGAGGTCTCCAGATGCGCCGGAAAAGAGTGGTGCTGTGTTAAATAGCCCGGATAAATGTCGGCAGAACCGCCAGGCATCAACATTAATTCGCTGCAACCCTGGTGGTAATAATAGCCTGCGGTTGAAGACGGAAAAATAATCTCCGTGCAATGCAGCATCCTATGCCCAGTTTTAGGCACAAGTGAGACGATCACGGCAACGATGATTTCTATGATGCGGGGGAACTCCGCATTTTTATCCCCTGCTGAATACATCATTCTCGAGTCCAATGTACCGCGGAGAGGTTTTCTTTGATTACAGTCATGAAGCTGAGAATATGTGATACTATGTATCCAGGGTTAAACATGCTATTGACTTCACAGGCTGTGGAGCCTAGACCTTTGACGATGCATGTCGTCTCGACGGTCACACGCTATCATGCAATTTGAGAAAACGTCAAACCATCGTCGTGCATGAAGTTATGACTTCATTTTCTACCTGCATACCCCTCAAGGACTTTTACCAGAAGCGGAAGTCTTGTTCCTCAATTCCTCAAATGTCATGGTCTACTCCACAGGAAATGCTGCCCCTTGGCGACAGACTCTCTTCGGCATGTCTGCGATTGCCGGAAAACGGTCCTTGTCGTGGGGTGGGCTCCGCTGGGGTCGGGGATAGCAATCACATATAAATTGTCTGGGGTTCACCGGCCGGGGTCAAGTACTGGACGGGAATAAGATCGGCAGAGTGCATCGTAGGGGAGAGCCACTATGCTACGCAAATGTTTCCTTCTGCCCCTGCTGGCAGCTTGCGGTGCAGCGGTTGAGATCTCCGTTGCATCGTCTGGTGGTAATGCCACTAGTGGTTTACAATATGGTATCATGGAAGAGGTAGGTTCCCCACAGCGAGTGGGTTCGATCGGAGATGGTGGCTGACTATTATGTAGGAAATCAACTACTGTGGTGATGGGGGTCTCTATGCGGAGCTGATTCGCAATCGTGCGTTCCAGGGAGGCGAGAAATACCCTTCCACATTGGATGCTTGGATTCCAGTCGACGGATCGGCGCTGTCTCTAAAGAACCTCAGTCAACCCCTGTCATCTGCACTGCCCACATCAGTCAATGTCAAAGGAACGACAGGAAAGGCTGGCCTTACCAACTTGGGTTGGTGGGGTCTCGACGTAAGAGAGCAGACGTACACCGGCTCCTTCTATGTGAAGGGTGCCTACAACGGAACATTCACAGCTTCCCTGCAGTCCAATAAGACTGGTGAGGTATATGCCAGCGCTGTCATTGTGTCAAAGAGCGCTCGTGGCGAATGGACCCAGCATAACTTTACTTTGACCCCCACTAAGGCTGCCTCAAACACCGAGAACACGTTCTCTATTACCTTCGATGCTTCTGTGAGTGGATACACCAATGACTGGTAGATTTGCCCTTACTGACTGTGTAGAAAACTGTTGACGGCTCCCTTGACTTCAACCTTATCAGCCTGTTCCCTCCTACATATAACGACCGTCCCAATGGACTTCGCAGGGATTTGATGCAAGCGATGGCCGACTTTGGACCTGTATGTCAATGTGCTTGCATCTACTAGAAAGACAATGCTAACAAACTAGAAATTCCTGCGATTCCCAGGTGGCAACAACCTCGAAGGCGATACCATTGACGGCAGATGGAAATGGAACGAAACCATTGGACCTCTCAAGGACCGCCCAGGCCGTGCAACAACCTGGTCCTACCAAGAAACCCACGGACTAGGTCTCGTCGAATACATGGAATGGTGTGAAGACCTTGGAGTCGAGCCCAGTAAGTCGTTTATCACCAATTTATGACGCCTCTAACAAGTCCGTAGTTCTTGCTGTATGGGGTGGATTTGCACTGAACGGCGACGCAATCCCCGAATCTGAGCTCGGTCTATACGTTCAAGACGCCTAGACGAGCTGGAATTCCTCACTGGCTCCGTAGACACCGAATACGGTGCCCTTCGCGCGTCCCTTGGCCATCCAAAACCTTGGACAGTCAAATATGTCGAAGTCGGTAACGAGGATAACTTAAACGAAGGGCTGGATTCATACAAATCCTACCGCTTCCAGGCCTTCTACAACGCCATCAAGGAGAAGTACCCAGACATTACAGTCCTGGCATCCACTGTTGAAATCGACTTCCCTGGCGATGCAGGCGGTGACTATCACCTGTACGATACGCCAGACAACTTCGTCAAGAAGTTCAACTTCTTCGACCAGTTCAGCCCCGACCATCCGATCCTACTTGGTAAGTCTTGGTCTGGACTACCTTGCCAAGCTAGTCATCCTTCCATATACGCTAACAATGAAATATGAACAGGCGAAATCGCAGCGATTCAGCTCAACGGACGCGAAATCGTCTGGGGCGGCTCTGCCCATTTCTCACAGTACCCATGGTGGATCGGTAGCGTCGCAGAAGGAGTCTTCCTCATCGGTGCCGAAAGAAACGCCGACAAGGTTCTGGGAACAACATACGTAAGGACCATCTCTATGCCCCCAACTTCTAACCCTGTATCAATATCAACGAACTAACGTACATCCCAGGCCCCCTTCATGATGAACCTCGACAACTACCAATGGTCTCCTACCTTCCTCGCGTTCAACTCGAACCCCGATGAGACGGCACGTTCGACCAGCTGGCACCTTTACGACGTAAGTATATAAATATACGCCCGTTGCTCTACCAGGGTCCAGGACATAAACTGACAAAAAGAAAACAGCTCTTCTCTCACAACTCCTTCACACACACCCTCCCCACCACATCAGATTCTAGCTTCGGACCTCTCTACTACGTCGCTGGTGTCGACAACACGAGCAATTCTCATATTTTCAAGGCAGCCGTATACAACAGCACCGCCGACGTGCCCGTGTCTCTTACTTTTGACGGCGTCAAGGCCGGTACCAGTGCAAGCCTTACTGTGCTCACCGCCGCGGATCCACTGGGCATGAACGAAGTGGGAGTTGCTGATATTGTCGATAAGAAGACCTCCACCGTGACGGCTGGTGCCAACGGCGTGTTTGATTTCAGTCTGCCGAATCTGAGTCTGGCTGTTTTGAAGACGGAGTAGGCGTGTACAAGATGTACAGCCATTCGAACTGGATAGATTAGGATGGATGGATCAATGAATAAAGTATGCTGAGATAACTTTGGAACAGTTGTTTATATCTATATGAAGATCCTTCAATACCGGGCTTGAATGTAATGTTTTCTTCTTTTTTTCCCCCCTTTTTTACCTGTCCAATCGTGGGTAGGTGATAGTAGTCTAAGGGGCTATAATGATAGTATACCGCCGTTCCATCAAGTTGCGTATATATCCAGCAGTTACAGAATCAGCAACTGTGCATGTAAAACCAATATGCTCTGACAAAAACTAGCCATAAACAGGAGAAAATGGAGCACTATTTTTCCAGTGATGTATTGTCATATTTTGCAGCGCGAAAGAGACATTCCTAATTGTCTGGTACGGTCGCCTTTCCGAGGGGAGCGTTATGACAGACGGAGTACAAGAAAAATAAGGTACATCTATCTACTATAGAGGGACACAAATATTAAAAACTAGATCTCAAGCATTGTTCAGGTTCAACATGTCAAATTTATTAAGTTCTGGTGTCTAATAATTATCATTTGTAGTGGTTAGTTAGTACACTTATCTGCTGAGTCAGTCTTATGGAAACAAGCTCCTGAAAAAGGAGGGGAAGATTAAATATTGAATCATTCAGTTCCCGAAAAGTACCATCACACAAGAAGTGAACTTAAATATAGATACACCATGTGACTGATTTGGTGTTGCAGGTTAGTCTCGGGCTGCTTGTGAGGTGCAAGGCATGTGCTGTAGTTCCCCGCCTCGAAGGATTCCAGAGCCCTTCCCATTATTGTCATGGGTCATGTGAGAGGTCAGTGGTCATATCCATATGAACTTGACTGCAAACCAATCCAACCATGTCAGGCCCATTCGATCTAAAGCAGTAGGTAGTATGGTATCACCTCGAGCTAAGTAAAAGTACCACGAGGATCACCAATTTGCGCAGGGTATACGCTGCCCTTGAAATCTACGTCCTGCAATTTCTCTCGGAGATAGTCCAGAGTAGGCTAATTAGTAGGAATGTGCCATATAAGTAGCTAGTTGCCACGGAGTAGCAGTAGAAGTCGTTGCTCAGAACTTCCTCCTCTCCCCGTTAGGGACCAAAATGGGCTTCCGTCGCTTTCGAGTATGATCTCCAATTGAATGTATTGTTAAACTTTGAGTCTGGCTGATGTCACTGTTCATCATCACACATTATGTCGTATCGCCCGGTGGGCTTCATAGAGGTCCGGGTTATCTCCCACTGCAGTCTCGAAAAGAAGAGAATCCAAAAAGAAAGGAGAAGAAAAGGAAAAGTGAAAAACGGAAAGGTGAAAAATAAAGTAGCTGTGAAAGAAGAAGAAGAGAAAAAGAAGTTTGAAGAAACGAGAAATCGAAGAAAAGGCCAAAGTAAGAAATGATGATGTGAGAAGATTATGTGGTCAAGCAATATAAGACAGCCCCCCCCGGGGGAGGAAGAAGAGTAAAAATGGACAGGAAATTGTCAAAGAATATATCAACAAGAAGTGCGCGAAATCATCAGAAATCTAGTAAGAATCGTAAAGTCACACATACGAGTCGATCTCAGGAACTAACGGCTGAGCATCGAGATAACATGAGGCATCAAGCGATGGTTCCAGCCCCATCACAGGAAAGGTAGACAATGTATCATACCCATTCGTCAATGTTGACTCCAGCCCTGGGACCGGAAAGTCTTCCGGGGAGATTGTGGGCAGGCCATTCATCATATCCTCTGCAGAAACAGGGGGTGGGGCCGCAACTAGATCATCACCTAGTACGTCCTGGTCAATAAAATTTTGAGCGTTCTCGAGAACTACTTCCTCCTTCTGCACCATCCAGTGCTTAAGGACTTCCATCGGCGGGTGATTACCACCGCCCTTGCCACCGCGCTTCTCACTATCTTTCCCACGTCCGCCCCGGCCACGCTGGCAGGGGTTGAAATGGGTCCGACGCAAGTGAGCGGCAGCGTTGTAGTTAGCACCATATCGCTTTCCATTGCGGCAAGCTTTGCAGTTGGCCAAGAAAGTCTTTCCAGGAGAGATATCAACACAAACCCAGACCTTACGAACCACAGCGTGGACCCGCTCAATGTGACGTCGCAGCTCGTGCTCCCCGTGGAAGCCATCGGGCTGGTCGTTGCACATAGTGCAATACGTCTTTTGGCGCGGGGGTCGCTGGATCGAGGCCTTAGGAATGGCTGCGACCTCTTTGGAAGTCCCATCAGAAGATGAGATACGTATCATCTTAGTCTGCTCGGTCGCTTTAGGAGGAGACATGCTCTGCGATTCCACTTTCGGGGCAATGGGTCTGGCGCCCTGAACGATTTGTTCCTGAGTCCTCCGAGCCGCCCTTGAGGGCTGAGAGAGAGACGAGTTGCTACTGTCGGAAGACATGGAATGTTTCATCTCCGTTGCCGGGGACGAAGAAAGAGTGGACACGGGCGGTGCAAAGGATGTAGCAGGGGGAGCAGAGCAAGAGAAGGGCGGGGCGGGAGATTCAGTCAAAGGGAACGAGACATGATCCATGTCGCGCTGCGCGGATGTGAAGGGATTGGTAAATGGAACGTTCATAGGGGACGTGGAGGGAATGAAGTCTGAGGATGGAAAAGGAAACGAGCAGTTTGGATTGAGATGTGGCCCCGAAGAATCAAATCTCATCATTCCCATACCTCCACACAGGGAGTCAGTAGTTGGGGTTCTACTCATCTCCACTGCGGCCGACACCGGTTGGACCGGTTGGTCAACCAAAGATGGATTCCCTAGCCCAGTCAGGTCGGGAACCAGATCCGATTGTCCGTGATATTGCGGGACGAAGGATGGATTCGAGGGCTGAGCTCCAGTCGCCGTGGTATCCGTAGAAAGCGCCATCGAAAGTGCGGAGACTCCGCCTTGGGCCTGGTAGTCATCCAAGTATTGCTTTGCATATTCGGACGGGGAATATTCGTTGACGTGGTCAAGACGGCGATGGATGCGCTGGGGTCCATAGGAGTGTCGATGTCCCGTTGTGGGGGAGGCCAGCGAGGGTCGATGGGAGACCGGAGTCTGTTGACTCTGCGAGCGGACCATGGCCGTGTGTCGGGAGGGACCCAAGCCGGAGTAGTTCTCCTTCCGAGAATTCGATCTAGATAGCTTCCGGATCGTCTGAGGAGCAGCTGGCGAGGACGCATGCGACAGATCGCGCGTCAAGTCAACGGTCACCGGAGGTTCCGGAGTCTGCCAAGTGTCAATCCAGGGACTGTTGGCGGGAGAGCAGAGATGAAAGTGAGAAAGAATGGAGTAGCGCAACAGGAACACAGGATGGGTTAAGAACGGAGAGGTGGAAAACAGGCGGGAGCAGAAGACCAAGATAGATCACATACGGTGACTCGTCGTTTCGTCGGAGGAAGACCAGAACCAGGTAGAGTCCGCGGAGTATCCTGTCGAGTCCGTTTCCCAGATTTCTCGAGAGATGAACCACCATTGTCAAGGATACCAGAGCCAGAAACCGGGCGGTAGCTGGGAGAAGATACAGCGGCCGCGGTGGGCATGAACTGATTTAATTGTTGACTCCAAAGTTCGTTGCGCTCTGCTTCCGAGAGGTGAGAATGCCGATCCAAGAAAGCGTCCCGATACCCAGAGATGGCCCTTTTGAAGAGTTCCTCATCGGCCATGTTGACAGCCATATTGGAAAGATATCCTCTTTTGAGTGTTGCCGTCTCTCACGTGAGATGAGGCAGGAAAAGAGCTGCTATCAGTACCAAATGACTCTGGGGGTTTAGGAGGGGTAGTTCTCTATAGAATCGTCCGATACGTCAGTGTTTAATGAAACAGAGAAATCGATAACTCAGAAAATGTGGATAGAAAAGACTGACTGGTAAATCAAGACTGATCCCGTGATGTGTCGTGCGGAATCTGCGAATTTGATGGAGGAAAGAGAAGGGGGGGGTAGTGTGATGTGGTATGCGATAAGGAGATAAGGAGAAGGAGAGATCAGGAAGTATAGGAAGTATAGGAAGTAAGAAGAGAAGGTTTCGGTGGTTGAGAAGATGGAGATGGAGAGAAGGAGGGAAGGATGTGATAGATATAGGGGCTGATAGTTGGCGCAAGTATCAAGATATATGTGACGTGACAGACGATCGATAGTTGGAGAAGATTGAGAGGAGGGAGGTGAGGGAGATATCAATTTAAGAATTGAGCCCAAAGCTCTCCACAGCCCGGCTTGATCAAATGGCCCGGACTACGGAGTACAATGGATGACTGAGATGGGGGAAAGGGGGTGTGGATTTGATGGTGTATGGAGAGGTACGTCGTAGTCGTAGTAAAAAGTCCGTCAGAGAGCAGTAGTTCATGGCAAGTTTGAAACCAACCGGGGCGGGGATGAGACTCCATGAGATGAAGGGAAAGATTGGCCAGTGCCAGCCTGCACTAAGGCAGGAATGGCAGTGTGGACCGGGGGCATGAGAATGATCATGGATGGGCAGAAGGGTTGACAGAGAAGAGGGTCTGGACTCTAGAACCGTTCTGTCGACCGTCCGGGGTGGGCAACAGTGGCCAAATGGAATTATTTGATTTGGATTT